ACATCAAAAGCTGTAAATGATTAAGCTTTATGAGGAAGACACATCAAAAGCCAAGAAAAGTCAAAAGCCAGGCCTCTTCCATTAAACAGCCAAGTTGTGAATGCAAAGGAAAAATTCTTGAAGGAAATTAAAAGTGCTACTCCAGTGAACACACAAATGATGAGAAAGGGAAACAGCCTTACTGCTGAGATGGAGAAAGTTTGAGTGATCTGGATAGAAGATAAAATTAGCCACAACATTCCTTTGAGTGAAAGCCTAATCCAGAGCAAGGCCCTAACTCTCTCCAATTCTATAAGGCTGAGAGAGGTGAGTAAAGAAGAAGAAAAGTTGGAAGCCAGCAAAGATTGGTTCATGAAGCTTAAGGAAAGAAGCCATCCCCACGACATAAAAGTGCAAGGTGAAGCAGCAAGTTATCCAGATCTAGCTAAGATAATTAATGAAGGTGGCTACACTAAACAAAAGATTTTCAGTGTAGACAAAACAGCCTTTTATTGGAAGAGGATGTCATCTAGGACTTTCATAGCTAGAGAGGTCAATGCCTAGCTTTAAAGCTTCAAAGGACATGCTGATATATGATATATATATATATATAAAAATTAACTGGGCATGGTGGCACATGCCTGTAGTCCCAGCTACTCAGGAGGCTGAGGCAGAAGGATCGCTTGAGCCCAGGAGTTTGAGGTTGCTGTGAGCTAGGCTGACAGCACGGCACTCCAGCCCAGGCAATAGAGTGAGACCCTGTCTGGAAAAAAAAAGCAAAAAGAAAAAAAAAAAGTGGAGCCTGAAGATGTGACTGAATTGCTGCAATCTCATGACAAAATTTGAACAAATGAGGAGTTGCTTCTTGTGATGAGTAAAGAAAGGATACTTACCATTCCTCCTACTATAATAAAAAAAACCCATGATTCACAAAACCAGCTACTAAACATTTCTTAACATAAGACACTGCATCTATACTCCTAATAATAGCTATCATTATTAACATATCATATTCTAAGCAATGAATAATCATAAAAATCCCCAACCTAATAACATCTCTAACAATTGCTATGGCACTAATTATAAAACTTAGACTCTCTCTATTTTATTTTTGTGTCCCAGAAGTAACACAAGGAATTCCACTAATATTAGGCATAATTCTATCAACATTACAAAAACTGGCACCAATTTCAATCCTATTCAATTAGCATCAGTTGACCTAAATGTAATATTAATTATCACTATAATATTAATTTATAGGAGGATGAGGATTAAATCAGACATAACTATGAAAAATTCTGGCCTATATTCATCAATGGCATATATAGAATGAATCATAACCATCCTTATCTATAACCCTTTACAATAATCTCAAATCTAATATTTGATATTATAGTAACAATTACTGCATTAATATTGAATTTAAATATAACTATCACAACATTATCGTTATCACATACATAAAGTAAATTACCACTAATAAGGTCCACAATCTTTGTAACCCTATTATCTCTAGGATTATAATTCCACTCACAGAATTTTTACTCAAATGAATCATTATTCAAGAATTAACAAAAAGCAACAGCATTATTATACCAACATTTATAGCTATCATAGCATTATTCAATTTATATTTTATATACTATTAATTTATTTTACATCATTAACAATATTCTCAATAACCAACAACATAGCGACAGAGACAATCTGAAAATATAAAACATTATTTCTTTCATCATTTGTTATACTGTCAACCTTTTCCCTCCCACTTGCACCAATATTCTCAACATTGGATTAGAAATTTGAGTTAGACTGATCAAGAGCCTTCAAAGCCCTAAGCAAGTACCCTAATACTTAATTCCTGACAATTAAGGACTATAAGACTCTATCTTACATCAAGTGAATGCAAACCAAACACGTTAATTAAGCTAAATCCTTAGTAGTGTGGCGTCTGATCCCACAGAAATTTAGTTAACAGCTAAACACCCTAATCAACTGGCTTCAATCTACTTCTCTCACTGCCTTGAGGGAAAAAGAAAGTAGAAGCAGCCCTGGCAGAATTAAAGTGGCCCCTTTGAATTTGCAATTCAATATGAAAACTCACCTCAGAGCTTGGTAAAAAGAGGGCTCAACCTCTGTATTTAGATTTACAGTCTAATGCTTACTCAGCCATTTTATCCCTCTATGTTCATTAATTATTTATTATTCTCAAAAAACCACAAAGATATTGGCACACTGCATTTACTATTCAGGTGCTTGAGCTGGAATAGTATGAACTGCCCTAAGTCTTTTAATTCAGGCTGAATGGGGTCAACCATGGAACCCGTTAGGCGATGATTAAATTTACAATGTCATCATCATTGTCTAAGCATTGGTGATAATCTTTTTTATCGTTATACCTATTATAATTAGAGGGTTCGGTAACTGATTAGTCCCTTTAATGTTTGGGGCCCCAGACACAGCATTTACCTGAATGAACAATGTAAGCTTCTGACTTCTCCTATCATCATGTGCTTACCTCCTCAACAGGAAAAGCCAGCTGGTACAGGATGAGCAGTGTACTCATCTTTAGCTGGAAATCTAGCACATGCAGGAGCCTCCATAGATCTTACAATTTTCACATTACACTGAGCAGGTGTTTCATCAGTTTTAAGAGCTATTAATTTTATTACAACAATCATTAACATAAAACCTCCAACAATATTCCAATGCCAGACACCACTGTTTGTCTGATCAGTATTAATCACAACTGTACTTTTATTAGTCTTTCCCAGTATTAGTGGCCAACATTACCATACTATTAACCAGCTGTAGCCTTAATAACACTGTTTTTGATCCCACTGGAGGAGGAGACTCAATTTTATACCAATATTTACTCAATCTCACATATTATAACTTATTATTCTGGGGAAAAAGAACCATTCAGTTGTACAGGAATAGTATGAGCCATTGATATTATGGCTTTCCTAGGCTTTATTGTATGAGCTCTCTATATATTTACAGTAGGGATAGACACTGGTACCCATGTATTTTACAACAGCTACAATAATCTGCTATTCCCACAGGAGTTATTAGTTGACTAGCAACCCTACATGGAGATAACATTAAATGATCTCCAGCTATACTATAAACCTTAGGCTTTAGTTCTCTATTTACAGCTGGGGGCCTGATGGAAACCGTATTAGCTAACTCATCATTAGACATTAGTAGAGGCATTAATAACAGGAGTTCTCACTAAGTGTCTACTATATACTATACTAAGGGCTTTTCATGCCTTCTCTCACAACTCCTCACATCTACCCAGTGTGATAAATACTATACTAGGTGGAACTATGGGGATTTTCCACTTCTGTAGATTTCAAATGGTCAATTATCAGCAGTTTTATATGGTTCAAACTACCATCTTCCTGGTTCAGAGAAAGTGAAATACGGAGAGACTTGTCTAAGATAAAATAGCCAGTACCTGGTAGAGTCAGGTTTGGAAGCTATGTGGGTTGATGTCAGCACCAACATTCTTGACCAATATGTTATACAAATTCCTAGCAAAGATGCAGGTCTAATGGTTTAGCAGATGTAACCTCTAAGATTTAATCAAGTATTATTTGCATCGTATTAGAGAATATACAAAAAGTCAAGAAATGATGCCACAGCAAATTTGGCATTAAAATCAAATGTTTACATTAATTAAAGTAGCCCATGTTTGTTCTTACCTCTAGGATTACCCTTCTCTTCCATGAACTCTTATCATCATTTATTCAGCCAACAAATATTTACTCCACACCAGGCTCAATTTTTAACCTCCTATAAGGATCTTCTTTTCCAACCATCGCCTAATTCTGACCCATTTACCAACTGGAGTTCATCTCTCTTTTTAATAGCTTTTGTCTCCCTTGTAATGAGAATCCCATTTTGCCTTTTAACACCTCTGATTCCCTCCAACAAAAGTGAAGGATTACTGACGAAACTCAATAAATGTTCAATTTGATGTTCATATCAAGTGTACCACATGTGAAATTTAATAGGTGTAAAGAATCACAGCCACCTCAAAGGGAGTAGATGATAAAGCCTTTTCTGATCTCACCGACTTGTGTCCTTTTTAACCTGAACTCATCAGGAAACTACCTACCTTACGATATTCTTATATTACTACTTAGCGTTTCATGTGCCTTGTCTCTGGAATCAGAGTTTAAGCTTCTCAAGGGCAAGGATTCTTATTCTTTCTTTGACGTCACACACTACCAGCAAATTATGTAAATCAAGAGACCTTTAATTCAGGGACATGAAGAAAAATTAGCAGATTAGGAGAAGGTCCTTGAAGGTAGCAAAGTGAAAAAAGAAGAGGGCGCTTATGCATTAACACCTGCTTGTGAGAACTAAAACCAGCTAGTATTTCAAAGCTCTGATAGTCGCCTTGGCTGTCCTTTTAAAGAGGTGTGTGACAACTCACAATTGCAAAGATGTGGAAACAACACAAGTGCCCATCAATACATGAGTGGATTAATAAAATGTGGTATATGTATACCATGGAGTTCTACTCAGCCACAAAAAACAATGGTGATCTCACACCCCTTGTATTATCCTGGATAGAGCTGGAAGCCCATTCTACTAAGTGAAGTATCCCAAGAATGGAAAAACAAGCACCACATGTACTCACCAGCAAATTGGTATTAACTGAGCAACACTTAAGTCACATACAGTAATAACATTCGGCTGCCCAGCAGGTGGGAGGTGGGAGGAAGGGATGGGTATATTCACACCTAACAGGTGTGGTGCGCACCCTCTAGGGATGGACACGCTTGAAGCTCTGACTCGGGTGGGGTAAAGGCGATATACGTAACCTAAACATTTGTACCCCTGTAATATGCTGAAATTAAAAAAATAAAATAAAGGTGTGTGAAAAAACCGGCAGCGTGACGGATGTTGGCTGAGAAGGCAGTCCGCTGACCGCCAGGGGGAGCCCTGCGGCGCGCTGCCTTCCCCGCACCGCCCCGCTCTCTTGGCCCGCGCGCCCGCCCGCCGTCCGCCGCCACGCCCGCCACAGGCCGAGGGCCAGTCACCCGCGGGCCGGCGTCCCGCAGCCCTTTGGCGCCCCGCCCCTGCCCCGCCGCGGGACGAATAACGGTTACGAAGCACTTTCTCGGCCACGGATTTCTGCTTAGTCACTGTCTTCCAGGAAACAGCTCCCTCAGTTTGGAGTCAACTCTCCCGCGGCGGCCGCAGGAGCCGGAGCTGCAGCCACCAGCGCCTCCCTCCCGGGCCGCCGCTCCGCTGCCGGCCGGCCTCCCCCGGGCCCGAGCGCAGGCCGGGCTCCAGGCGCGAGGAGTCGGCAGCCTCGCGCTCGCCTCTCGGCCTCCCCCGGGCCTCGGGCACCGAGTCCTGTAAGCGGCCGCCTTCCCGCTCGCCCGCCCGCCCGGTAGCCGCTTGGCCCCCTCGGACGGCCGCTGCCATGGGCACCGACAGCCGCGCGGCCGGGGCGCTCCTGGCGCGGGCCCGCACCCTGCACCTGCAGACCGGGAACCTGCTCAACTGGGGCCGCCTGCGGAAGAAGTGCCCGTCCACGCACAGTGAGGAGGTGAGCGCGGCGAGCGTCGCCTGCGGAGACGCGGGGCTCCCGGGGCGGGCCGCGGGCCGGGCCGGGCGGCTCCGAGCGGGCGGAAGCGCCGGCGGGCCGGCAGGGCTCTGGGCGTCCGCGGAGACGCGCACCTGGGCCCTGCCCGCGGGAGGATGCTGGGGCTGGTGTCGGCGCCACCTCTGGTCCAGACCTGCAGCTGGGGGCAACGTGCCTTAAAAACTTAACGGAGACAACGGCGCACCAAGTGACGCCTCTGTCAGTGCTTACCGTGGGTAGCATAACTCTTGAAGGTGTCGAGTCCCTCTTCCTGGCACCGGATCAGAGAGGGCCAGTACGTCGCTCAGTCCCTCTCCCCGTCTCTCATCCTTGCCCCGGTAAAGGAGTATTTCAGAGATTAGCCTTTGGTGGATTCAGATGAAGTAGTATTCGTAATACGCTCAACTTTTAGAATGTTGACATTGGTTTCTCTATTGCCGTGAGGCAAATGAGTAAACGCTCAAATTTGGCTTTGAAGTAAGGTGTATATATATATATATTTTTTTGCTGGAAATTGATCTGCCTCATTTTATTCGCCTAAAGACTAATCTCTAAGTACTCTAAGTGATGGGTACCCTAAATACCCTGACTTGATCATTACACGTTATATGCATGTACAGAATATCACATGACTATGTACAAACATTATATATCAATAAAAAATAACTTTAAAAGCTGGGGGAAAAAAAGACTAATCACTAGTTAGAGGTGGCAGAGATTGATCTGGAATTTTACACTTGTTAAATACTTTTTGCCGGCCATTCCTAAGCAGATAGTCATCCATTTACTTCACGTTGTACGTATTGGTGGTATGGGACACTTTTAGTAATTAAAAAATAACAAAACCTTTTTAAGAGCTATGTGACTTTGAAAAAGTTACTTAGCCTCCCTGTTTACACAGTTTTAAAGTTGGGTAATAATACCTTCATTAGGTTGTTGTGAGAATTAAGAAATAATATGTGGTCTACGGCCATACTACAGTGAACGCGCCCAATCTCGTCTGATTTTGAAAGCTAAGCAGGGGCGGGCCTGGTTAGTAATTTTTAAATTTTAAAATTAAAAATTAAAAAAATACATATGAAAGTGTTCGCTATACAGGCATTTATCTCCCTACTAGTTGGTTCCCTCAGAAAGATAAAGGAAATCTTAATTAAAAAAAAAAAAATTTTCCTAAACTAAGTCATATTGTGAATTTATCAGATGTGCTCCTAGGCAGTTTCTGCTCTCCTATATGAGATGTTGGCGGTAGGCTATGCAGCAGCACAATGACATCCTTCTGAGTATGGCTGGACCTGTGCCCAGGCCTGGTATTGGGAGTCAATACCCATCAAAAGATGAGAACTCTTGATTAACAAATCTGAATCCCTACCGTATTCAGTATTCAGGTTCCAGCTCAGTATATTTTGTTCTGTTTAAACCACCACTTTGACTATTTCTCCCAAAGGTAAATATTTCTGTATTTGGTATGTAAACCCTTAATTTCTTCCAGCACTGATGGTGATTGTTCAGTACAGCATTTTGCATGTGTATTGATATTACTGGGCAAAATTTTCTCTTATCTCACTAGACCACACTCTAAAAATGGTGACTTTCAGGGTTTTTGACTACACAGTGAGAAACTGCCTTTTATAATCCAGTTCATGGTTAAATATATATATATGTATATCTGTGTATCTGAAACACAGGTTTCATGGAAAGATATTAACCCTTATTATGTACTGTGTATTCTGATTTTTTCTATCCTATTTTAATTTTTAAAAATTTGGATCTTAATGCACTAAGTCATAACCCCACAGTTTGAAAAACATTGTTCAGAGGACTAATTCTGATTTTTATTTAGGGTGCTTCATAAGAGTAGGACAAAACTAAAGAAACTAGAAAACATTTGAGAAAAACTTGAAGGAATAGCGTATTATAGGAAAACTATGACTGCTTAGTTAGAATGGGAGAGGTATGTTTTGTTTCTGCATAAAGAACTTTGTAAAAACCAGAGCCCCAAATTGGGATGTGTTGCTTAAAATCTCAGCCTCATTGATGAGATAAAAGAAACTGAATAAGTCAGTCATTATTGAGAAAATTTACACTTCAGGTAGAGAGTTCAGTTAAATTTCTTAAAAGGTCTCTTCTAGTTCTAATTTTGTGTGTGTGTGACCTCTGCCCACATTCTTTGTTTCACAGTTTTTTAAGTGGGTGGGACTATTTTGCTCAGTTCTTTGTTATAAGGGTGTTTGACCAGCTGGATCATAGTATTTTTAAAACTCATATATTAATAAAACTCCAGATATGATACACTAAATTATGATGATACTTATCTTCAGTGATATTATGTGTGTATGATAAGAATGAAAAGAGCAGAGACCAAAAAAGTACAAAGTTAATGTTCAATGTACAGTAGATAACATATAACTTATAAGATTAAAAATCAAGTTTGTGATAAAGTCAATGAATATCTCATTTAATTATAACATTAGGCTGTTCTATGATTTGTCCTGGTATTTTGCAGAATCCAAGATTATTAAAGAAATGGTTTCAAGAAAGGAGTGAATATTTTGAAAATATTCTTATCTTCCTGAATTGAGGAATTCATCAGGAAAGCCTTAAGAATACAAATGAGCTGCCTTTTCAGAGGAAAATTTCTTAGAATTTTCCCGTGATTTAAGCCAAAGCACTTTGATAGAATTGTTAACCTCTAGTTGGTTCTGTTGCCTCAATTTTTACTAATTTTTAAGAGAATATTGACTTGCAATTCTATCTAGAATGATTATCAACTGATTTTCATCTACTGACTTAAATTTGATTGTAAATGTACTTCATAGAAAGATAGAGACCTTCTAACTTGAATCCAAGTGGATGATTGTGGATAGCACATAATTGTTGTGGATTATAAATCTTAATGTAAATGGCTCTGTGCCCTTAAATTGATAAACTAGTCCTTGTAATCTTCTGTACTGAGATATAAGCAGTAAAGTGCTTGTATCAGTTTTTTTTTTCAATTTAGTCTCTATTGTTGCTCTTAGGAAAGTGCTTTTACAATTCAGCAACTGGCTTCTAGTTAATCATTTCTGTTTGCATTGATTGCTCACAGAATGAAAAACACTGTGCCCTTGATTGTCTATAAAGCAGTGATTTCAAATTGCTAGTGTTGGCCCATTAGTGGTCATAAATCAGTTTAGTGAATCATGGAGCAGTATGTTTTTTCTAATTAATAGAAGTCTTTTGGGAGGGTGGGAGGAGGATGAGGGATAAAAATGTACCTATCAGGTACAATGTACACTACTCTGGTGACAGGGACACTAAAAGCCCTGACTTCTGCATTATACAATTCGTCCATATAGCAAAACCACTTGTACCGCCTTAATATGGGGGGCGGGGAGAAGAAGCCATAAGAGTGCCTGACATGTAGTGAGCATAAATACTGTTTTGTGAATTTTTTTGACCCATTATATGTCTATAGACCCTTGCTTACTATGTGGATGTATGTCTTTCTTAGGACCACTATCAAACAAGTTTGAAATACACTGACATAAGAGATACAAAGATGAATAATGAATTTATAACATAATGTTAATGTAGTTTTGTTTAGGAAAACACTGAAAACAGGTTATAAGTGTTTGCCTAAGTATTAGAAAATGAGTTATGGACTATCCTTACACAAGTTGTCTATCCTGGTGGTTCTCAGATTTTAATTAGTACATAGTGGTTACTTGGGATGCTTGTTGAAGTTCTGGCTGCTCTTGGAGAGTAACTCAGCAGATCTAAGTTTGGGCTCAGGATCTAAATTTTTAATAAAACAGGCACAGGTGAATCTGATGTAGGAGTTCCTCTGGCCACCCTAATTCTCTAATCATTTGTTTGTCTTTGAGCAATGTAGCAAAGTGGTTAATGTGAATTCTAACCAGGTGGCCTGGGCTTGAATCCAAGTTCCTCTGTTTGTAAACCTTATTCTTTAAAAAATGTTTTGTTTCTTTATGAATGGTTTTATGTTCCAAAAGTTTATTTAAATTTTCATTGGTACAAAAACATTTTAAAAATAATTAGACTACTGCTTTAGGTCAAGAAAATTTGAAAAATAAGAGTAGGATAAAAACAAGTCTGTATTTATGTTGAAGAAAACAAAAGCCTTATAGAATTAAAATTTGGGTTTGTATGGTATTTCGTATTGATATCTTTTTTTCGTGCTTATCAGACTAATACACTCTTATTATAGAAGTACATAGTGTATAGAGTTTAACAGTTTCAAAACACATTCCTTTTGCAGCTTCGAGATTGTATCCAAAAGACCTTGAATGAGTGGAGTTCCCAAATTAGCCCAGATTCAGTCAGGGTAAGTGAAATGTGACTACAGAAATCATGCAAGTCAAAACGGAAGTGAAGTAAGCAGGAAGTTAATTTCCTCAGTTTTGTGAGGGAAGTCAAATAGGCAATTTGCCATAAAATTCTCTGTGGCTAATTTGCTGAGATGGCAGTCTGATCCAGAAGGCTTAAGCATAAAATGGAAAATCTGGATTCAGTAGTCAACTCTTTAACTAGACAAGATACTAATATTCTTGTGCTTAATTCTCACCACAGTTTCCTCACCATCAGTGTTTTATTCCAGTTTAATTTTGGTCTAGTTGAAAGCAATCTACCAATGAAAACTGTTTGATAATCATTCTTCTACTTGACCAAAAATGATTATCAAACAATTTTGGTTGGTAGATTGCTTTCGTAGATTGTCACCCTAGCAATATAGTCACTAGATATTTTTCAAATGTCAGGTATTCATTATCCTCAATAATTATTCATTATAATGCATTAGAATGGCCTTTGCTTTTTCCTACTGTACTCAGAAAAACATGTTGTGGCTTAAAATGCTTATTATTACAAAACTAACAATAATGTTATCATATGATCCAGTAATCATACTCCTTGGTATCTGCCCAAAGGAGCCAAAAACTTAATGTCACACAAAAACCTATAACAGATGTTTATAGCAGTTTTATTCATAATTGCTAAAATTTGGAAGCAACCAAGATGTCCTTCAGCGGGTGAATACATAAATAAACCGTAGTACCTCTAAACAATGAAATTGTTCAGTGCTGAAAAGAAATGAGCTATCAAGCCATAAGAAGACATGGAGGAAACTTACATGCATATTACTAAGTGAAAGAAGCCAATCTGAAAAGGCTACATACTGTATGATTCCAACTATTTGATATTTTGGAAAAAGCAGAACTATAGAGACAGTAAAAAGGTCAGTGGTTGCCAGGGCTTAGAAGGGAGAGAGGGAGGGATGAATATGCAGAGCACAGGGGATTTTTATGGCACTGAAATTACTATGTGTGATATTTGTGAAGCCTATCCAGACCTCAGGTAAAGAACCATGTTGTCTTATGGGTTGTCTGTTTCTATTTTTTTTTTTCTTTACGCAGCCCAACAGAACAGGTATGAGGGTTATCTGTTTCTAAAGGCCATTATGGATCATAGAAAATTTTATAAGTAATCATAAATATTACTTTTATATTTACAATAAATATTACATATTTATTATAGGAGTTTCCAGAAGTCTTAGAATGTTCTGCATCTCATGCAGTGGAAAAGATAAATCCTGATGAAAGAGAAGAAATGAAAGTTTCCGGTAAAGTCCAGCCTTTACAATTCCTTTTGTTATATAGTGGAAGTGATAGTGAGGTTTTATTAGCCATGGGAATAAGCCTTTCTTTGCTTCTGGTAGTGCTTGACTCAGACACTAAGTGTGGGAAATAAACAGATTCTTTTTTAACATAATTTTATTGTCAATTGTAAGAGGGAGTTATAGGAGGTTGATGCTGGCTACTTCAATGGAGTCAGAATAGAACTTGAACTTGCTGTTCTTCATGATGTTCTCATGTCATGTCATGTAATTTATGTGTCAGATTTCAGAGCAGAAGAAAGATTAAGGTGGAGGAAATGGAAAGGATAAAGGGAAGGTTTAGGAGCAGTGTCTACCCAAAGCAAGCATAAGCCCTCCCTTTCTGGTGGGATTGGTAAGCAGTGACTGAGGTTACCTGGGAGTGTAGAAAGAAGTTTGGGCAACAAATTGCACGGAGAGAAAGGTAATACATATATAACTCCCCTTCAGCATATGTAGTGAGTGAGTACTACATTCCAGAAACTGTATTAGGCTCCAAGAATACAAAAATGGAAAGATGTACTGCTCCTGCCCTCACCTTGTAGTCAGCATAGCATAGTCATTAAAAGCTTGAGCTTGACTAGATTAAAATTCCTGGGTGTGCAAATTACTGACTGGTCTAATCTTGGGCTGACAAAGAATTTATTCTCTCTGAGCCTCAGTTTTCTCATCTATAACATGAGGGTATATATGTTTCTCAGGTTTCTTTGTAAATTGGATAAAATAACAAAAGAAGCACTTAGCATAGTGCTTGCCACAAAGTAAATGCTAGGTGGCTGTTATTTATTACTATGCTGTTGTTGTGATTGTGCTATTTTATTATTATTGAGATAGTAATCCTAAATTACATGTAAGATGAGATATGGTATTATCTTTTGAGTCTAATAATAATAACTACCATTTATTGAGTCTTGCTTTGTGCCAGGCACTGTGCTTGGTACTTTGTTATATTTCTTCATATAATTCTCAAAATAATCCCACAAAGTAAGTCTGTTTCTCATTGCACTAGTGACATTTAATAACTTGAAAATTGTCATACAGCCAGTAAGTGGTTATACCAGGAATCTGTCCAGGTATTCCTGACTTCAAAACCCATTTCTTTCTGTTAATTTCATATTACTGTTTGTGTTAGAAAGGAAATAAAAGCAACATTCTTTCTGTGGTTGAAGATTTTTGATAGGCTTCAAAATTCTCTATATATGAAGAGGTTTCTTCTTTCTACGTATCCAAAAATGCCTCATCTCTCAGAGAGAGCAGGCCATTTCAGAGGGTACAAATTTGTGGATGGAGGAATAGTGGTGGGGAGGGTTTTCAGAGTTCAGTGGGAGCTAGGGTTGGAGCAAAGTGGTGACTATTATGACAAAAAATTTTAAGATAACTAAATACTACATATAAATATATAAAAAATATTTATTACATAAAGATAAACCAAATAGAAATAGAAACAATGTTATGCTCTACTTCATATGACCAAAAACTGGAAACTAACATCTAAAAATGAAAATGATTATATTAGGAAGTTGGAGTTGTAGATTTTTTTGTCAGTTTTCCTCTCATTTTTGCCTTTTACGTTAGTCTTTGTATAGATTTTGGTTTATTGGAAAAAGTATTTAAGTGCCCTATTAATGTTTAATTCATAAAAATGTATATTTCAAGTAAATTTAAGCCCCTATATTTATCTGACTTGCCTTCTTTTTTTTTTTTGAGACAGAGTCTCACTTTTGTTGCCCAGGCTAGAGTGAGTGCCATGGCGTCAGCCTAGCTCACAGCAACCTCAAACTCCTGGGCTCAAGCGATCCTCCTGCCTCAGCCTCCCAAGTAGCTGGTACTACAGGCATGTGCCACTATGCCCGGCTAATTTTTTGTATATATATTTTTAGTTGGTCAATTAATTTCTTTCTATTTTTAGTAGAGACGGGGTCTTGCTCAGGATGGTTTCGAACTCCCAACCTCGAGCAATCCGCCCGCCTCGGCCTCCCAGAGTGCTAGGATTACAGGCGTGAGCCACCGCGCCGGCCTGACTTGCCTTCTAATAAATGGGAAATTAATATTTGCTTTTTTGTTTTGACAAACTTATTTGTTGGCAACTAGCATATAATTTAAAAATTACAATGGAAGTATACTTTTATGTTTTAAAATGAAAATTTTAAAAATTATGTGACTAGGAAAGGAAAAAATTCATTCAAGATTATCTGTCATCTTAGTATTATGGCAATATTAATGCTAACACATAGTAAAATGTATACCCAAATGTAGTAATTGGTTTTGTTTTCTTTGTTAACTAGCGAAACTGTTCATTGTAGGATCAAACTCTTCATCATCAACTAGAAATGCTGTTGACATGGGTAAGCAAAAATTTAATTTTTTATATTAATAGGGGGCTTTAAATTAGTGTAGGTATTTTTAGTTATAACTTCTGTTCAGGTCCACGTAAAAAGAAAACGAGCTGATTCCAATTTTACCTTTTAAAGTTCTAGCCAAATTTCTTTTTTTTTTTTTTTTTTTTTTTTTTTTTGAGACAGAGTCTCACTTTGTTGTCCAGGCTAGAGTGAGTGCCGTGGCGTCAGCCTAGCTCACAGCAACCTCAAACTCCTGGGCTCAAGCGATCCTCCTGCCTCAGCCTCCCAAGTAGCTGGGACTACAGGCATGCGCCACCATGCCCGGCTAATTTTTTATATATATATCAGTTGGCCAATTAATTTCTTTCTATTTATAGTAGAGACGGGGTCTCGCTCTTGCTCAGGCTGGTTTTGAACTCCTGACCTTGAGCAATCCGCCCGCCTCAGCCTCCCAAGAGCTAGGATTACAGGCGTGAGCCACAGCGCCCGGCCCTAGCCAAATTTCTTAAGGCCTCTCTGGAATCATATTGACTTATGTAGGGTCATATTTTGATATATAAGAGGAATGTAGAAGATGTAACATAATTAAACGTTAACTGTCTGTTTAGGGATAGATGTTCTCCTTAATCATTTTCTTAACCCTTTTAGTGCTGTAGCAAAAACAACAGCAACAAAATCCAAGTATTTTATATCTGTTTTCAGTACCTGGTTAGGTTATTGTGGTATTACTGTTACCCAATCCTTTTTTTAAACATTCTTTGAGCATTTATAAATGTTGAAAACTTATATAATTGGTTCTTTAATATAACTTTAGAATAAACAATGATCATTTAAAATAAGCTCTTAAATTATTTTATAAAAATTAAGAAATTATCTACTTCTGTAAATATAGATTAAGACCATAAATTCAGTTTTTCAGAATCTCAGCCTTATTCTTTGCTATGACTACCAGTTATAGAATATTAGGTCAAAATTCTTGTGATCATCCATATGAGATACTAGTGAGCAAGTAGAGCTGAAGAAGAAGAAAATTTTTTGAAGATAAGGAAACTACCAAAAAATTCTTGGGCATAGAAAACAAAAAGGAATCCTGTTCCCCTGAAAGAAGAGCCTATAGTAGTTGTGAGCATCCTAGGAAGAAGGCAGGTCAGAGAAACCCACTTTATCTGCCCCTTAGAGCAAGTAGGTGGATGGGCACTTACACATTTTCAAAAGCTGGAAATGTTCTAAATGAAAGGTAAATTAAGAAATTATCTGTTATTTAGAACAACATGGACAGAATTCAGTGGGATACTTTGAGGACAGTAGAAATATTTGGTTTTTTGCACATTGACAACCATGTGAATAAAAAGAAGAGGGATATTTGTTTTTATTATGTAACAAACATCTTTGTGTTTTCCTTCCCATCAGCCTGTTCAGTCCTTGGAGTAGCACAGCTGGATTCTGTGATCATTGCTTCACCTCCTATTGAAGATGGAGTTAATCTTTCCTTGGAGCATTTACAGCCTTACTGGGAAGAATTAGAAAACTTGGTTCAGAGCAAAAAGATTGTTGCTATAGGTACCTCTGATCTGGACAAAACACAGTTGGAGCAGCTCTATCAGTGGGCACAGGTGAAGGATGGCTAGATCATGAGCACTCGGGGAGGAGCCTGCCCTTTTCAGTTTTTGCTGCTTATTGTTGAGTGTTCTGCACATAGTAGACACTCACTGGGGGGGTGACTCTTCCAAATGGTGGGAGGTTTTTGTGTGTGTGTGTGGGGGGGAGTTTTGAGGCAGATTTTATCTAAATAATTAGGTTTTGTTTTTTTTTTTTCATTTATGTCTAATTGAACTGAATTTTTTTTTTTTTTTTTTTTTGAGACAGAGTCTCATTTTGATGCCCAGGCTAGAGTGAGTGCCATGGCGTCAGCCTAGCTCACAGCAACCTCAATCTCCTGGGCTCAAGCGATCCTCCTGCCTCAGCCTCCCAAGTACTGGGACTACAGGCATGTGCCACCATGCCCAGCTAATTTTTTTTGTATATATATTTTCTTAATTGGTCAATTAATTTCTAGTTTTAGTACAGATGGGGTCTTGCTCAGGCTGGTTTCAAACTCCTGACCTTGAGCAATCCTCCCACCTCAGCCTCCCAGAGTGAGTGCTAGGATTACAGGCGTGAGCCACCATGCCCAGCCTGAACTGAATATTAATCCCAGTTAAAATGAGTGACAGAAACACTAGGAAATGTGTATTGAAGCATTTATAGCCAACTAAATTAAGGCCATTTCCTTGAGTTTTACTTATGTGCTGAAAAATGTATAGAAAAAAACCTATATTTTTCTTTATGTATTATTAGTCTGTGGCTCTAATTTCCTAAGTAAAAGAATATTATGTATAACAAATATTTTGCTAACTGTTATTCAAAGATGTCTGAAACTCTTAGTTCATACAACTTGATATAGAGTGAGTGTCATAAATTAACCACTCCCATGCTCTGGTCTAATAACCTACAAAATTATTTGGAAAGTTACTTACTACTATTTTACCTTTACTCTCTATATTTTTCTTTATTCCTTTTCCTTCATCTTCAGCCTTCTCCTCTTCAGAGCTTTCAGAGCTTCTCATGAAGAGAAAGACCCTAGAGAAAATGTTGCCCCTTCTCCCTTTGACTTGGTGATAGCTAGAATGTGACCAAGAAACTCCTAGAGAGACTTAGATGATTCAGAATATGTACTATATATTATAGTATATATATATATTAATAAGTATATTAAATTAAACTCTCTAGCTGTTGGAAGTTATCAGTTCTTCCCTTTCAAAATTTGTCTAATTAGCCATATTTTATATTTTAACATTAAATATACTCGTATTTGATCCTCCACCTTTAAGACCTATTCCCTCTGTAACTGAAACCATCAAACTTAGAATCATGTTTATTTCTTAGGCAGATGTATTACATTGTTAAATGGTTCATTTTATAAACTTAAAGAACTATAGGATGTGATTTTTCATGTATTCTAAAATTAAGTTCTTTTATTGCTTATTGCTTTCTACTTTCTATTTTATACTTACTTTAGGAGATATGTCATCATTTTATTTTTACTTGTAGGTAAAACCAAATAGTAACCAAGTTAATCTTGCCTCCTGCTGTGTGATGCCACCTGATTTGACTGCATTTGCTAAACAATTTGACATACAGCTATTGACTCACAATGATCCAAAAGGTAAGAGTGGTGTTTTCATTGTAGAGATTGATCATGAGCTTTTATCTTACAAAAAGCTAGTTTTTGAAATTTACTTTTAAGTGTGTGCAGTGATAAATGTACAGTGTTATCTAGAATTATTCTTAATGGTTAGTTCAAAACATTTTTGCCTTTATTTTCAGAAAACTTTATTTTATCTTTGTACCAAGGGGGTGGGGAGTGAAAGGACCATTTCCTGAACAGCTTTTATATCTGTTGAGGTTCACAAATAGTAAACTACAAAGAAAAGATCTGTTGAGACATTCTATTTTTTTTTTTTTTTTTGAGACAGAGTCTTGCTTTGTTGCCCTGCTTCAGCCTAGCTCATAGCAACCTCAAACTCCTGGGCTCAAGCAGTGCTCCTACCTCAGCCTCCCGAGTAGCTGGGACTACAGGCATGTGCCACCATGCCCAGCTAATTTTTTCTATATATATTAGTTGACCAATTAATTTCTTTCTATTTTTAGTAGAGACGGGGCTCTCTTGCTCAGGCTGGTTTCAAACTCCTGACCTTGAGCAATCGGCCCACCTCGGTCTCCCAGAGTGCTAGGATTACAGGCGTGAGCCACCGCGCTCGGCCTTGAGACAACAGAGTCTTGCTTTTTGTCCTGGCTAGAGGGAGTACCATGGCGTCAGCCTAGCTCACAGCAACCTCAAACTCCTGGGCTCAAGCAATCCTGCAGCCTCAGCCTCCTGAGTAGCTGGGACTACAGGCATGTGCCACCATGCCTGGCTAATTTTTTCTATATATATATGTTAGTTGGCCAATTAATTTCTTTCTATTTATAGTAGAGATGGGGTCTTGCTCTTGCTCGGACTGGTTTTGAACTCCTGACCTCTAGCAATCCGCCTACCTCGGCCTCCCAGAGCGCTAGGATTACAGGCGTGAGCCACCGTGCCCTGGCCAAGACACTCTAAATAGTAATATATATAATCTTGTCTAGTACAGCAAAGATGGGACCAAAGGGCCACTTAATTTTAAAGGATAAATATCTGGAAAAAGAGGCACATATAATTTAATTCAAAACATAAAAAGCATCTTAGATAATGAGGGTTTTTTTAATCATTACTATCAAGATACATGTTTAGTGCTAATGAGAAACATTATTTGATGAATGAGAATGGCTTGCCTGCTTTCTGTAATTTTTTATCAACATTTTACAAGTTAGGCTAGAAAGAAAATGTTTAAAATAATTTGTAAAGATAAATGTTTCAGAGAGCCTGTATATTTAATATTTTTGTTATAAGTGAGGAAAGTCTTGTGAAAGTTTTAAGTCTCTATGACATTTTTATAGATATTCTTTTTTAATAAATATTGGAGGAAATTATATTTCATAGATGATTCCTAGAGAAAAAACATTCAGTTTTTACTTCTATTTTTATATCTAAAAATATGACATATTGGTAGTTTGATTCCATTTGCTCATTTTTAGAATGCAATTAATAACCTAATAAGACTTTATGCTATTTATTAGCAGCCTACTCCATTCTCATTTTTAACTGTTTCATCAGAAGTGGAGGAGGCAGAGGAGGAAGAGTTTTAATCATTATTGTTACTTCAGTGCCATGCATCATGCCAAATACCTCACAGAGATTATCTGTAATCCTCACAACAGCTGAAACTAGACATTTTATTGATGAGGAAATAGAGCCTGAGAGTTTAAAAAATTAGCCAAGGTCACCCAGCTGACATGGGGCAAAGTTTGAATTGGACCTAGGTCTTGGATGATTCTCAAGTTTTGCCCACTATGCTGAACTATCTCTTTGATTTGAAACATTCGTATTGTAGTATTTCAGTCTCAAAACTTTATTTCCATTTAAATGATACCAGAATAAGATATAGTGACTTTTGCCTCCCAGTAGTTTTCACAAGCAAGTTAAAAAAAAAAAGTCATTTTAGTGAAAATCTAACAAAGAATTGCTTTAATTTATTCTAAAATATAAGCCATTTAAATGTTACCTTTCCATATGTTTGCAGTTATCATGTATCTGTTTACTTTGGGGGAGGCTCTTCTAACAGTAATTGTTAACAAAAGCTGATGATCCCAGCCTATACCCCCTTCTACTTCAAACTGAAAAAACCTTTTGCCACTAGGAAAGGAAATAAGAAAAGACTATGGTGTCTGCTATTTTGTTTCCATGTATCCAAATGTTGACATTTAGATTATGTTTTGTATGGTTTTGTATTACTGACATTATTTGATACTTGGTTGTCCTTTTAATTTTAATTCTAAACCTTTTGGTTAGAATTTATAGGCTGATCCTGCAGATACCATTAACGAATCTTCAGATACTTTATAATGAAGCAATTCTTCATTTAATTTATTGTGTTTACTGACTAGAGTTAACATAGTTGAATTTTAAAAGTATGTAGTTAAGTTAATGAATAGCATAGTTCTCTTTGTGTCAGATTTTTTATTTTTAAGCAACCAAATTGTAAAACATTTAACTCTACTTGTCATCTAAAATAGAATTTTGTTTCTAAGTCCCCTAAAGGTCTACTTCTATTCCGAAATTACCCTTATTCCTCAGATGGATTTATTTCCCATTACCCTTTGTCCTAGAAGTTGTAGTAACAGTTTAGCTACAGTCAATGTAAAATCATAAAGTAGGTAATCCTGACTTTACAACTTTTCTTTTTATTTGCTTTACCCCTCCCCCCAGTCCCATTAAATCTGATCTGTATTATGCCTCATTTCCTCAGGGTCCTCTTCTCTGCTAGATAATCTGATAAATCCACAGTATTGTCACTTTTCCAAGGAGACATTTGCATCCTATTTGTGAAAAGTTAACATTTACTAGCTGTGTGACCCTGGGCAAGTTACCTAACCTCTCTGCCTCAGTTTCCTCCTATAAAGGGGAATAACAGTAGCTATCTTACAGGGTTAACATATAGATTAAATGAGTTAATACATGTAAAGTAATCAGAAAAATGCTTGGCCCGTAATAATCACTAACATTTACTGAGGGTTTACTGTTAATGCTGCTCAGGTATCACAACAGTTCATTTGAGGGTAGTCAGGTCCTTTAGCACTCCCAAATCATGCTGTGAGATGGTCACATAATCCCTACCTGTAGGTTGATTTGACCCCAGTGGAATCTTTCCATATTGATTGATTCATTCAACAGACATTTGAGCACCGTGTGCCAGGCATTGTTCTGGGTACTAGAGAAAAAGGACCAAGTCAGACAAATGCCAGACCTCATGGAATTTATATTGTAATGGGAGGAGACAGACAATAAAATAAATGTTACATATGATAAATGGTAGTATATGCTATGGAGAAAAGTTGTCTGAGGGACAAAAAGAGCTTCCAGGTTAGGAGTTGTTTTATGTGGTACTGTCAGGGAGGCCTGTCTGCTAAGGTAATGTTAATCAGACACCTGCAAGAAGGGAGTGAGCCATGTGGCTATCTGGAAGCAGAGAATTCAGGGAAGAGGGACCAGCTGATTCAGAGTCTCCAAGGTGTGAATGTGCTTGGGTTTTCAGGATATAGCAAGGAAACCAATGTGGCCAGAAAAGAGGTAATGAGGAGGGGAGTGGTAGGATATGGCATCAGAATGGTTGTAGAGGGATAGATATAAACTTGGAATTTGAAAATAACAAGTTCATCAAAAAAGTGCAAATTAAAAGATAGCCATTGGCAAAGATTTTTTAATGATTGCTGGTGCTCATGAGGATATAAGATTGGAACTCTCACATTATCAACCTCTGGGGGAAGTGTAAAGTACAGCCTTTCTGGAAAGCAGTTGGTAAGATACTATATGTCAAGCCTTAAGAATGGACTTGTACTTGGGACCTTCATTCCATAGCCAGGAGTGCATTTTAAGGATGTTCATCATATTATTATCCTTATTAGCAAAATATTAGGAAAAACCTAAATGTTTTGACCAACAGTAAGGAAATTTATAATTATGATAACTCTATTAATATAGTATTTGAGGAATTATTAAAAATGGTGTTTTCACAGAATATTTAATTACATGGGAAAATATTCACAATATTAAGTGGAAGAAAATCAGTGAATTAGGCTGTAATTACAGTATGATTTCTAGTTTTGTAGGATTTGGATATAAGATATTTACAGATGTAATATATGTAGATATGTATGGATATAAGATATATGTAGATATAAGATGGAGATAAATATATACACACAAAAAAAGTTGTAAAAGAAATACATGGCAGTGGAAATAGTATGTCTTCTCCAATTGATAGAATTTTGACTCTTTTTTCCTTCTTTATACTTCCTGTATTTTCCCTGACTGTGCATTAGAATCACCTGGAGGTGTTCAAAAAATACAGATGTCTAGCAGCCTCCACTCACCAGAAGATAGGAATTAAATAGGCTGGAATGCAGGTGTAGATACTTTATTTAAAGAACTGCCTGAGCATCTAATATTCTGATTCAGATTCACACTACACGTGAAGTATATTTTTTTTTTTTTTTTTTTTTTTTTTTTGAGACAGAGTCTCACTTTGTTGCCCAGGCTAGAGTGAGTGCCGTGGCGTCAGCCTGGCTCACAGCAACCTCAATCTCCAGGGCTCAGCGATCCTACTGCCTCAGCCTCCCAAGTAGCTGGGACTACAGGCATGCGCCCCCATGCCCGGCTAATTTTTTGTATATATATTTTTAGTTGGTCAATTAATTTATTTCTATTTTTGGTAGAGACGGGGTCTCGCTCAGGCTAGTTTCGAACTCCTGACCTTGAGCAATCCACCCGCCTCGGCCTCCCAAAGTGCTAGGATTACAGACGTGAGCCACCACGCCCGGCCGTGAAGTATATTTTATATTCAGTTTTGAGGTGTTTCTTTTGTTGTGTTAAATGGTTACCTACATAGTAAAGTGATTTTGTTTCTGAATTTAACATTTTGTGGTTTTGTTTCTTGTTTGTTTTAGAACTGCTTTCTGAAGCAAGTTTCCAAGAAGCTCTTCAGGAAAGCATCCCTGACATTCAAGCACATGAGTGGGTGCCTCTGTGGCTACTGAGATACTCGGTCATCGTGAAAAGCAGAGGAATTATCAAATCAAAAGGCTACATTTTACAAGCTAAAAGAAGGGGTTCTTAACTGTTACTTAGGATCATAACCTTCTGACCTGTATTTTCCTTGAATATAAGATAAAAATGAAATGTGTAAAAATCTAGTTACTGCCTGTAAATGGTGTCATTAAGGCAGATGCAGATATTCCTTTTTTTTTTTTTGAGGCAGATATTCTTTAGTTATATTTGACAGTATGTTGTCTGTCGAGTTTTGAATACTTCTCTTGCCTCCATGTCAGTCCACTCACATAAACCACTGTATTGTTTTCATTAAACTATTGTTTCCTAATTGAAATTGTCTATAAAGAAAATACTTGCAATATATTTTCCTTTATTTTTATGATTAATAGAAATCAAGAAATTTGTTGTTAGATATATTTTGGCCTAGGTATCAGGGTAATGTATATACATATTTTTTATTTCCCAAAAAAATTCATTAATTGCTTCTTACTCTACAGAATAACTAAGCGATTTAATTACAATTTGTTAAAACTGAAATATAATACTGGAAGATATTTTTGCTGTCATCAATAAAATAATTATATCTCAGAGTAACTGGAGTAGCTAGGATTTCCTCTTAGTGTAAATAAAATTCATTCTCCAATACATGAATGGAAACTTAAATCTTTTTTATGTGTCCTTGTAGTTTAGCTATAATGATTTAACCATGTATTCTTGGACTGTATTTTCTATTCTTATTACTTATAAAGACAAACCAAAGTAAATCTGAAAAGATTAGAAGCTTTGAAGTTATTGTTTGAGGGTTTTATAACACTGTTACCTCCAGATTCTTTTAAATTCTTGATCTATCCTTAGTAAATTGCTACTCATTCAATAATATTCAATAAGTATTGAACACTTGCCATGTGCCTGGCATTATGGGCTCTGGAGAGAGGACAGAGCACAGAACCAGGATTAAGAATCAGTTGAGTAAAATATATGATATTTATTTCATATTAATAACTGATGAGGAACTAAAAAGGGGGTTTAAAAAAATTTTAATTCAGGGCCAATATTGTTTGTTTAGACAACTTTGAGATATGGTCTTAACTATTTTAAAGAAGAACAATATAATCAAAACTTTAGATCTAGAAGAGACTATAGATCATTTAGTATAATTCATTATTAGTCTAAGAACCAGAAAATTGAAAATAAAGCTGTGACTTTAATACATAATATAGGTTTCCTTAATTCTATAAATTTGTAACTCAAAGAGTTTGAAAAGTTCTTTAAAAATCTCTTGTATCTCAATATTTTTAAACAATGGGTCTATAAAACTAATTTTGCTCAAGTTTTCTCAACTTAAGAAAAAGAACTATGATTCTATATTCAAAATAAATACAGTAGACCCTTTCCTTAGTAAGATTTTGTGGTTTGCTGGTTGGATAATTTGATCATTGAAATTATACTGTGAAATCGGGTGATTTACCTGCTAAAACTTTTAGACATTGAGTTACTTAAGCCTTCTAGCTCTTTTTTATGTAACATTAGTAAATATATACAGTTAACTTTCAAATTTGGAAACGTACAACATTTTTTCATGTGACATAAATCTTTAAACCAATGTTCATTTTACTTTAAATCTATACAGTGAACTGTCCAAGATATTGTAAGTTGAAACTTTAATATCACATTTATTGCTTTTTAAAACCCTGGACTTATAAAAAAATAGATCGTTTGAAGAGTTATTTTGAAAGTGGGGGAAAAAAAAACCTTAATGTTGCTAATGTATCCAAAATTCAGCAGGAACTTTCTTGTGACTTTCCTCCCACACCCAATTCTTGACAAAGAAGCAAGATTATAGATTCATTTTGTGAAGGGAATCATGTATTAAACTTTTTAATGAGTTTTTTTGTTTCACCTCTCTACTCTGAATTCCTGTTATTGAATAACCTTTTCTAAAAAAATGATTTTTTATGGCTTTATAATTTTCCAAGCTGATGTTCACATCTTTTTTCTTAAACTATCGCAATATAGTGAATACGTTTCAAATATTTAAGGACTTAATGTTTAAAAAGCCATAAAATAGAGTGGCAATACTACCAAACAATTGCTTAAAATTGAATGCTAAGTTACCAATAGTTTATATAACGGATGTTTTCTGAGAAGATACGAATCCACTGACCCAAGGTAGAAAGAGTTTATATAATTGTTTTTTTTTTTCCAGTAAATACAAAAAGAAGCTATAGCATATTACATTTCTAAAATACACTGGAGCCTTTAACACAGTGTACTGTAACTTGGAATTTGTCCTGAGTCTATCTTGAATTCCCACCCAAAAATTTGTAGTCACCAGAAAGAACAAGATATCTTATAAAATACATTCATGTGGTGTAAATTCCAAAGACTATATTGTTTCCCAGTACACTAATAGAGTATCCATTTAGGGATGGCCATTGCCAGAACTTGAATCACAAATAATAGCTAATAATTTTTCAGTTCTCTGACAAAATCATTTGGACAGCTATGTGTAAAATGGAAAATAAAAAGTTATTTTGCACGAATGGTTCACAATTTTCTGTATGACAGCCAAGTAATTAAAATTACCTTAATTTTCAGTGATAAAATGTCTAAGGTTTATTAATTATGTCTCTAAGATTTTCTTTCTAGATTTTTCACCCAGTGTTTTCAATATTTGGGAATGTAAGCAATTGATATATTTAGGACATATTGGCTGATCATTCATCTTTCTGCCAGATGTACATTTAGAGAAATGTGAAGCTGTTTTAATGAGAATTTAAACCATTTGTGTCATTTGTTTTCATAGTCAAATACACTAACATTCTGAACCTACTTTTTTCATCAGCTTTCTAATGTATCAGAACTCAAAACTGTCTTTTTCCTGTAAAGTTGGTAATAGGATATATCAGTTTTATTTTTGAAAAATATGTAACACAACTTTAATATTTTTATAGTTTTCAGAATCAGTAATATATTTAGGAAGGGAAAGTGTTTTAATTAGATAATTCTACTTTTTTATGTGTCTGTAGTGGTATACTATAGAAGCAAAATATAAAGCATTAAATATAATTTTTAATTTTACTTATAATATGAACTTAAATAAAGTGTGAGTTGTATATTTTTTAATTGAGTTGTTTCAATAGTTGGAAGCATCCTGGAGCATTATGTTGATTATGAACTATTTGAACTCAAGCTGATTTGAAAATAAATTAGTAACTTCTAAATACCCAAGACATAAAGCTATTTATGCATTCATTCATTCAACAGAGACTTACTGGATGCCTTCTATGTGCTAGGCACTGTGCAAAGTGCTGATAGACACAGATGAAAAATAATTCATGTCTTCAGGGAGCATATAGTATATTTGAGGGAGAGAGGGAGATCTGTATATGAATAAGAGAAATAAAAGGCTGCATCTGTTAATGATGAAGTAGTGGAAAGGATTGGGGGCATGTGGAAGAAAGTAGGACTGGGTAGCCGAGTAAGGACAAGAAAGGCTTCCCTAAACAAATTAGCTTTAGAGTAGGGTCAGAAAACAAGATGCAGTGGGCATCCTGGGCAGAGTCCCTTGTTTGTAAATATGCTCTTATTAAATGATGAAGCAGTTAATATGTAAACTTCAGAAATTCAATAAAAACACGGCTGAGGGCAGTGGCTCATGCCTGTAATCCTAGCACTCTGGGAGGCCAAGGCGGGCAGATTGCTTGAGGTCAGGAGTTCCAAACCAGCCTGAGCAAGAGTGAGACCCCATCTCTACTATAAATAGAAATTAATTGGCCAACTAATATATATAGAAAAAATTAGCTGGGCATGGTGGCACATGCCTGTAGTCCCAGCTACTCGGGAGGCTGAGGCAGCAGGATTGCTTGAGCCCAGGAGATTGAGGTTGCTGTGAGCTAGGCTGACACCACAGCACTCACTCTAGTCAGGGCAACAAAGTGAGACTCTGTCTCAAAAAAAATAATTTAATAACACCTTTAAAAGCTTATTTTTATCAGGCAGAATGGAATAGCTTCTGTTGAGACAACAGTAAGTTTGGAAAAGTCCCATTTTATAAAAGAGACTGAACTTGCCCAACTCCCCCAAATATTAAATATATCAGGATATGGCCGTATATAGTTCTGCTACCACAGAAGTTAAATCTTTAATGTGTTTCGTCATCAATGACTAAATGTGTAAAATGTCATATAAGATTTTGACGTGTCTATTTGCCCATTATTTTAAGGTTCATGTTTTCGAATTAGCATTACTTATTTTGATTCAGCTCTCTTTTCCCTGTTTCTTTGCTCACTGTTGATTCTTGCATACTGGTCCTTTTAAGTTCACTTCTTGCTGAAGTATGTCCTTAATAATTCTTTACTAAAGGGTTTTGGGTATTTCTCTCTATATATATACATATATATATTATACATGCTTGCAGTGTATATATATATACACACTCAAATGATCATTTGACATTATAAGGTACTAAGTGCCTTAATAGCTGAAAGCTGGAAACCAAATTATCAACAGCTGAACGGATAAATCAATTGTATAGTCATACAATGGGATACCGCTCAGCATTAAAAAAGAATATACTACTGGTGTACACAGTAACAGATGAATCACAGAAATATGCTGAGTATGGCACAAAAGAGTACACACTGTGTTATTTCTTTTACAAGAAATTTTAGGAGAGACAAAATCTTAAAGTCAGCCAGATACAGCAATAGATAAGTCAGGACTGCAGTCCCACCTGAAAGCTGGATTAAGAGGGTTGGTTTGTTTCCAAGATCTCATGTGGTTATATAATGACAGGATTCAGTTCCTTGCTACAAGGGCCTCTCCATGTGGCAGCTTACAACATGCAACTAGCTTCCTACAGAGTGAGTGGTTGAGAGAGACCAAGATGGAAACCAGTCTTTGGTTAACCTAATCTTGAAAGTGACATGCATCATTTTTGTCATGCTCTTTTCATAAGTCATTAGGTCAAGCCTACATTCAAGGGTTTGAAGACCAGGAGATAGAATCACTGGGACCCATCTTACATGTCAATTTAAATGTAATATTTTCTATGTGTCAATGCAGAATGACCACGAGTAGTATGTATTTTTGAAAGGCTCATGCACAAAAATGGTCATCTTTTGGTTAATGCCCAAAATTCCAGATGGAGATTTGAAACTTCAGTCTAAGGATTTAATTGGTAAAACATAGACTATCCAGGGAGAGTTACTCTTTGGGCCTGAATAATAGTACTGTTTACCCTTGAACAACATTGGGGGTAGGGATGCAGACCCCCTGTGCAGTTGAAAATCCGCAGATAAGTTTAAACACCCCAAAAACTTAACTACTAATAGCCTACTGTTGACCACAAGCTTTACTGAAAACAATGATTAACACATATTTTGTATGTTGTATGTATTATATACTATATTCTTACAATGAAGTGTGTTAGAGAAAAGAATATTAAGAAAATCATAAGGAAAACATATTCACTATCAAGTGGAAGTGGATAATCATAAAAGTCTTTATCCTCATGGTCTTCATGTGGAGTAGGCTGAGGAGGAGGAGGAGGGGTTGGTCTTTCTGACCCAAGAGTGGCCAAGGCAGATAAAAATCTGTATAAATGGACCCGAGCAGTTCAAACCCATGTTGTTCAAGGGTCAACTGTACTATGTTCTTATATTTGCCCCAAATCCACTTTGGGTAAAGGAGAGAGGCAAAGAACAGGGAAATCTTGTAAACCCACATAAAACAAAAACGACACTTTTTTGCCTATGACCAGAAGACCTGTTGATAAGACCAGCTCAGTCTTCTTGTATTATGTACTGACATGTTAATTTTAGTATTTTATGTTTGTTTCTTAATGGTAAATATTTGAGTTGGTTTTTTTCTTTTTTTTTTTTTTACTTGAAAGGGGCCATGCTTGCAAGTGAATATTACACACTGCAGGATTTTTTAATATTATTTCCAATTTTCTACACCCATCATCATCATTTCTATTTTCATGCATTTGCTCAAGTTAAAGTTGTCATAGAGATTAAGTGAGTGAATACATGTAAAACACAACAGTATCCAACAGATAGTAAGTGCTCAAAACTATTATGATTGATACTGTTGTTCTCTGCTGCTTTGATCGCCACTACCCACCTCCAGTTGGTTCACTTTCCTTCCTCTACACCAGGGGTCCTCAAACTTTTTAAAGGGGGGGGGGGCAGTCCATTATCCCTCAGACCGTTGGAGGGCCAGACCATAGTTTAAAAAAAACTATAAACAAATTCCTATACACATTGCACATAACTTATTTTGAAGTAAAAAAACAAACAGGCAAAAACACCCACATGTGGCCCGTGGGCAGTAGTTTGAGGACGCCTGCTCTACACCATTTATCTCTTCAAATCTAGCCTGTTTTCTGTTCATCTTCTTACATAGTCTCAACTGCTACTTGGCCCTACTAAAATTCCTTCAGTTTTGCTCCTTACCACATTCCCCACAAGAATTGATGTAAACCTTTTCCATTCTTCTGAGATGAATCACCTTCTACTTAAAGAGATTATCCAAAATCCCCTCCTCTTTTCTTCTCTCCACTTGAATTTTCTTGCATTCACATTCTCTTTTCTGCTTCAAATATCAATTTTTCCCTCCTGCCTCCAAAGAAGGTGTATTCTTTTGTGGTAAACCCCTCCATCTCTATTTTTTATTCAATTCTTCAGTTGGAATTGGGCTCTGCTGCAAATAGAAAAATCCCTAAGTAACAGTGACTTTTTAAAAAAGGGTTTCTCTCAGGTGAAAGAAATTTAGAAGTAGGCTGTTGAGGGTTGATACGGCAGCTCCACAAGTTTTTGTTGTTGTCCTCACTGCTATGTTATCTCTAAAGCATGGCCTGCATCCTTATGGCACAAAATTGTTGTCTGAAAACCATCGAACACAACTTTCTAGGAAGTAAAATGAAGTTTAAGAAGTCAGATAGCGCCTTTTCCCTTTTATGATGCTGTTCTGGAAGAAATACACAACACTTGATTTTTATGTAATTGGCCAAAATTTAGTCATTTAGCCACATCTGGCAGCAAGGAAGGCTTTAAAAGGAGCAATTTTTAGCTGAGAAGCAATGTGTCCACGGAAAAGTCTGTGCTCTGTGACTTTAAGGAAAAAATTGGTTTTCTATTATAAAGAAGTAGAGGGGAATAAATTTGGTGAGGTGCTTATCCTTTCTCACCTTCAACAATTTCTGTTTACTTATTTCTTCATTTCCTTTCTATCCCCTCAAACATATTCTAGTTCTCCACCCATTACACTGAAAGAAAACAAAAATATTTATCTTGATTCTGGCTGCTGTCTTTAACTGCAAAAAATTTTTATCGCTCTCCTGTACAATTTCTTTCATTTTTTTCTTCTCTGCCATTACCAATTCCTAAACACCATCTCATTTAGATTACATATTAGTTTCCTAACTAGTCTCTGAATTTCTGGGGACACTTTGTATATCCCTTTACCCCAACCAAGTCTTTAAATTTGGCTTATACTTAACTTCACAAATAATATACAAGTGCATTACTGTTTAAACAAAAAGGTACAGATATTTCAAAAGTCTGCCTTGGCCAAGCCCGTGGCTACATTAAGATCTTTGGATTTACTGAACAAATGAGATGACAGATAGAAAGTAGGGTATAAGATGAGATTTTCCAATCTGTTCGCGTCAACAGGTACAGGTGGGGTATAAGATAAGATTTTCCAATCTGTTCGCTGCCCCCATTAAGGTCTCTCAGAGCAGAAGGACTATTTTTCTCTTCTACCATGCTAACGCGAAAGCTCCATCCCACCATCACTCGCTAGAGCTGAACAAAGGCCCAGATTCTCGCGAGTTCCGGGATCTGCGCGGAAAACTCAAGCGACGCACTTCTTTGACGCATTTCCGGGGCGCTGGAGCAGAGGGAAGCGGCGGTGGCTGCTGGGGTGTCGGGAAGATGGTGGTCACCAGGTCGGCACGGGTTCGGACCGACATCCAAGCCACGTCGCCTGAAAGCTCCCAGCGGAAGGTAGGTAGGAGAAGGTAGGAAATCCCAGGTCTCTCCCATTTCTCCTCGCTGCTTCACAGAGCGGCGCTCAGTCAGGTAGGGGCGGCTCGAGGGCCCGGCAGAGCGTGAGAAGGCCGGTGGAAGGGCGCCGGAACTGGCTGCGTGTTTCGGCATGTCAGGACGGCGCTAAGCTGTGGTGGAAACTGTTTAGTTCTCACCGCGGTCCTTTAAGACAAATGTTAGTATGGAAGAGATGTTAGGTAACTTGCTTTGGGTCGTTCAACTCAACGCAGATGCACAGCTCAGGACTTTTAACCTTACTGTTAATGTCTTAACAAGGAAGGTTAATTTCGGCCACCATGTGCAATCCTTATTGAGTGGAGTTGGAGAGGAAGGTGTTGTTTTCACGTGGAGAGGCTAATGGTGGCCTAGCATCACCTCATGTCTTGAGGAGGGCTGTGGTGACGCGGTCTGGTGGCTCTCGGTGGTGTTAGTCAACTGTCTAATTCTCACTCTGCGTTGAAGGCAACCTAGCAGCGGCAATTCTCTCAAGTATGTAAAGAAAGGCAAGGGCTGCGGCTGATTTCATCGATGTGTTCCTGAATACATCTTTGCTCAGTTAATGTTCCCTTTCTTCCCTCTTTCTCTGTATCTGGGTCAGAACGTAGGTCCAGCTAGCCTATTTGACTTTGACTAGAAAAAAATTATCTTTTTGTTTGTTTTGCTTCCTGAAGTCAAATCCAGGACTAGGGTGAGGCAAGTGAAGCAAATGCTAGGTAGGATCCAGTATTTAAATTTTGGAGAGTGGCTTTTGCCTGTAATCCCAACTACTCCGGAGTTGGGAGAATCACTTGAGCCCCAGAGTTCTAGGCTCCAGTGAGCTGGGATCATGTCACTGCCCTCCAGCCAGACAGGGAAATCCTGTTTAAAAAAAAGAGAGAGACTTTTTTTTTAAATCATAGGCTTGGTGGGTTTTTTGTATTTTTATTTTCTGTAATAATCATGGGTTTTTTTTTTTTTTTAATGCCGTCTTAAATTTTGCTGTTTGGGGCTATGCCTCATTGGCTTTATCGTGGTCACAGCTCTAACTAATTACAGTGTGTTTTTTCTGGCTTGCAGAGTTATGCTGCCGAAGGGTTTCAAAGACATCCAGAAAGCAGGAAGGAATCTGTATCTGATGACCAAAGTACTGCTGAATCACAGACCACTGGGAAACAAAGTTCAATCCCTAGAACTCCTAAAACCAGAAAGAGGAAGAGCAGAACTACAGGCTTACCACCAGAGGTGACCGAACCATCAACTGATGGAGACATCTCTGAAGCAGAGTCAAATTATTCTTCTGTGTCTGAGCACCAGGATCTCATTTTTAGAGTTACTAGGAGAAGGCAGATATTAATTGCATGCCCTCCAGCATCCAGTGTTAGGAAAAGGCCGAAAATAACTCCAACAGATGAATCTCATACTGAAGAAGTAGTCTCTGAAGCAGAATCTCACGTTTCAGGTATTTCTAGAATTGTGCTTTCCACAGAAATAACTACAAGAACCAGAAGTAAGACGAAATCTCTGTCAGATCCAAGCCAAGAATCACATGCAGAAGCTATATCTGATGCTGAGACATCATGTTCAGACGTTTCATTCTCTGGAATTGCCAGTAGGAGAACAACCAGAAATTTGCAGAGGAAATTACAGGCACAAACTGAGAAGAAAGGTAGTAAAATTATACCAGGAAACAAGAAGCAAATTGTTGATATACCTATAACTTCAGAAGATTCAGATACCAGACAAACTTCTCCTATACAAGCAAGATCCCTTTCTGAGATAGATAAACCTTATTTCTCAAATAATGACTTTGATAATGATTCCATCCACAGAAGTTCAGAAAAAATACTAAAAGTGCAAAAATGCCAACTTTCTAATGTAAGAGAGGAAAAACAGGCCAGTGTTGCACCTTTTAAAGAAATAAGAAAGCAGAATTATAAGGATTTGGTTGAAGACACCAAAGAAATAATAGATGAAGGGAAAGAAATAAATGAGAAAAGATCTCAGTTGAAGAATCTTTCTGAATTTCAGGACACTAGCATTCGGCACTTAGTTTCTCACAGTCATTCAACCCCCCAAAATAACAAAGCCACATCAGAGCCCTTAATTCTTAACTCTGAGGCTATAATGAAATCACTAACTCAAACATTTGCAGTTGTGGAAATGGACAGATGGAACACAAAGAAGATAAGCACCATAAAAACAAGTGACCTGACAAAGTGTGATGATTGTGGTGGTAGTGATGGTGATGATGACGAATCCACAATTATAGGTGTCAGTGAAGACATGAACAGTGAAAAGAATGTAGATCTTGAATGTGATACCAAACTATATATGTCTAAGCTCAACAGATCTCAGGATAAAGATTCTGTTGTACTAGTTCTCAGCAGTGATGAAAGCCAGCAGTCTGAAAACAGTGAGAATGAAGAGGAAACTTTGTGTTTTGTTGAAAATAGTGGCCAAAAAGAGTCATTAAGTGGAGACACAGGAAATACATCTTGTGGTAATGTGTTATTTGTAATTGACACAACTCCTGGACTGAGTGCTGATAAAAATTTTTACTTGGAAGAGGAAGATAAAGCAAGTGAGGTTGCCATCGAGGAAGAAAAAGAAGAGGAAGAGGATGAAAAGAGTGAAGAAGAACCATCAGATCATGACACAAATGTAGATGAATTTAGTGATGAAGAAGACTTACTAAATAACTCAAAGGCTAAACTGTAAGTTTTACTTTATTTTTATAAGTAAATTTTTTATATATATACTTCAAGTGATTAATTTACCATAAAAAATATGAAATATTAGAAAGCATGGGAATTGAGAAAATTACTGCCTTAGATTCTTTATGGATGAACTTTTCTATTCAGCATTTCCTTCATCTTTTTGGGTAACTGTGTTAGTAATACATTTCCCATCAATAATAGCTAAAAGTGCTCCTTTTGGTGATATATTAGAAATCATCTGTTAAGATTTTCCTGCATTATTATAAGACCAATATAGAGGGAAGAGAAAAGTAACTTGTTTTTTTCTGTGTGTTAATTGTAGAGGAATTGACAAAAGTATGAGAAAAATATCACCTATAATTCCATTCCTTTTCACCCATTGAAAAGCACTAATGTTTGGGGCTACTTTTTTACTTTCTCTTTTTCTCTTATAAACTTGTTTTTCCTAGGCATAAGCCTCTGGTGGCAGTGTATCCACTGGAAATATAGGCAGCCTTGTAAGGAGCTTTTTATTAACAGATGGCCAATCTTCGCTCTAAGCCAATGAAATCAATATCAGTAGGCACAGGCATACTCAATTTTTAAAACCCATGCTCCTCCCCACGTTAATTTTAATGTACCTTCAAAGTTGAGAATTACCGCCAAGACACTGAAACAGAATGATTTCACTTTTCCAGAAGAAGTTGATTATGCTTTCAACTACTCAGTTTATCTGAATAATTGGGGAAGACAGTGACTGTAAGTCTGCATGTACTTGTTTATTAAAAGAACGCTTCAGGCTGGGCGCAGTGTCTCCAGCCTGTAATCCTAGCACTCTGGGAGGTCAAGGCGGGCGGGATCGTTTAAGCTCAGGAGTTCGAGACCAGCCTGAGCAAGAGTGAGACCCCCATCTCTACCAAAAATAGAAAAAATTAGTTCGGCATGGTGGCATATGCCTGTAGTCCCAGAGCCTAGGAGTTTGAAGTTACTGTGAACTATGATGATGCCACTGCACTCTACCCAATACAGTAGAGCAAGACTCGGTCTAAAATAATAATAATAATTTAAAGTAGAATTCTCATTACATAAGTACAGCAGCAGGAACCCAGGCTAACTGTAGAAGATTCTGATTTGGTAGATCTGGGGTATGACACTTATATATTTTTTTAAAACACTCCTGTGGAATGGATGCTCATTGCTGTCTTAGACTCACTAGTTTAGAGACACTACCAAACACCCTTAGTTACCCAGGAAAACAGTCTAAGTTTTGATAATGTGGAAGTTCAAATCTGTCTTTCTTATTGGTTTTAGAGATAGCGATGTGTACATTTATTAATTCACTACCTGAACTTGAGCAGAATTGCCAGGTATATTCCCTTCTCCCCTTTTCTGTAGTTCTTTTCTTTAGGAAATCTATTGGCCTTAATCCTCTAAAATAATCTGGAGAACAAATTTGAGTATGTTCCTCAATGCTTTTTTGTTTAATTCATTATTCATCCAGAGTTTCTTCTAAATGACTAAGCTAGATTTAAAATATATGTATATTTGTTCAGTTTTTCAGGAAGTCCACTGTAAAAATAAGATGCTTTTTTTCGTCATTGACAATATAACGGAAGAGAAAAATAAGTGATTTTTAAAATGCAATCTTATTTGTTGCCATTTTGATTTAATTACATGATCTTTAAGTAATGATTTCTCTTTCAGTCTGAAGTTGACAAGCAGCAGCATAGACCCTGGCCTGAGTATCAAGCAGTTGGGTGGTTTGTATATTAATTTCAGTGCAGACAAACTGCATTCTAACAAGAGAACCCTAACACAGATCAAGGAGAAAAGGAAAAATGAGGTAAATTACATGAAGTGTCCTGTTAGGTTCTCATAGAACTAACCAATCACTTCTAGGAATCACTTCTAGAAATTAGTTCTTTGGAAAAGACTACAGTGAAACCCTGTCACCCTAATGTGTTCCTTTTTTACCTCTTTCTAGAACAGGCATTTCTTTTTTTTTTTTTTTTTAAAGTCATATCTGTAAAAGATAATGCCTGAAAATGAATTAATACAGGATCAGTATTTCTCTTGCTATAATTTTAGTTCTTAACTTTATGGATCCTGTTGAGAATCTAAGAGCTATGAGTGCCTGCGTCCCCCACTGGGAAAAAATGCACATGTGCATATAGACATAAAATTATATATATAATTTCAGAAGAAATTACTGTTAGGGTAACCTTACTCAAACCCTTCTTCGCTTTAGTCAATACCTTGCACTACTAGAAAATCTATATTTTCTAGTCGTGATGCCTCTTAACTTCAGATCTTTAAATCCAAGTGCCAGTTTGTTCATTTAGATACACTCAGGCACTTCACCTCACTAATTCCCCTCCTTCTCTTCCCTACATAAACCAGGAGTACTCCGTTTGTATTCTCTGTACTGATAATGACACCAAAATCTCTTTCCCTTTTGGAGTCAATCACTAAGCCTAGAGGAGGACTTCTCTGTTCTCTCCTTTTCCAGCTGCTATCACCAGCTAGTGCAGGCCTTTTATTTCTCATCTAGACTACTCCAGTAGCCTCCTTATTGATCTTCCCTCTATCTTCTTTGTTCTTCAAGCAATCCTCCATACTTCTGCTAGATTTCTTTTTTAAAAACCGTTTTGAGACAGCAGTCTCACTCTGTTGCCCAGGCCGGAGTGCAGTAACATAATCATAGCTCCTTGTAGCCTTGAACTCTGGGCTCAAGAGATCCTCCCTCTTCAGTCTCCTGAGTAGCTGGAACTGTAGGTGCACATTGCCATGCCTGGCTAGATTTTTTTTTTTTTTTTTTTAGAGATAGGGTCTCACTATGGTGCCCAGGTTGTTCTTGAACTCCTGGCCTCAAGCAGTCCTCCCACCTCAGCCTCCCGAGTAGCTGGAATCACAGGCATGAGCCACTGCCACTGCTCCTGGCCCTAGATTTCTCTTTCTAAAAACACAAATATGACATGACATTCTTCTGCTTAAGTCCTTCAAGATGCCTCTCTACCCATATCCCTGCCTATCATCTGCTTTGTTCTTGCCATTAAAGACTGTTGTGGTTCCCTGAACATACCCTGCTCCTTCCCAGGCCATTGCAAAAATCATAGACCACCACCCTTGGGAAACATTCTTTGACCTCTCAGTCTTTCCCCCAGCCCCTCTGTGCTTCTGTAACACCAGGTATAGATCTGATTCATTATTGATCATGTGATATAATTGTTAATTTGCCATCTTTTATCTTTGTATTTCTAAAACAGGATTTCTCAACCTCAACAGTACTGTTTGGGGCTGCATAATTCTTTGTTGTGGGAGGATGTCCTATGCATTGTAGGATGTTTTGCAGCATCCCTTCTTTCTACCCACAACCACAAAAACATCTCCAGACATTGTCAAATGTTCCCAATTGAGAACCACTGTCCTAGAGCCTTTATGGTACTTGACATACAGCAAACTCTTACTCATTTGTTAAGTAAATGTCATGTCAGTGAGAGGAAAGCCTAGATTGCTGTTATACCACCCAGAAACTTCTAGGCCTGAACCTGAATTGAGTGACTAGTAATTTCTGAATTGATAATTTCAAATGTCAATCCCAAATTAATTAATACTTAAGCTGTATTCCTTTGAACTATTTTGAGAGTTAAGGAGCAATCTTAACTTGGTTCTTGTACTAGGGAAAATACCAATTACCCTCAGGCTCCTTTTAATCACACAGTTTATGAGAATATTTAATAATCCCAGGCAAGTAACAAAAAATGCAGAAATCATTTGGGACATATCAACAGATGTGACTACACAAAATTTTAAAAAACTTATATAGTTTAAGCTGCTGAAAAAACTATATAACATTCTGACATTATTTTAAAATAAATTTTGTGTGTTTATAGCTTCTGCAGAAAGCCATCATTACACCCGATTTTGAAAAAAACTACTCTGTCCCACCATATAGTGAATCAAAGAATCAGCTTAAGAAAAAACGCAGAGTAAGTACAGTGACTTACTTAAAATGCTTAGATGTGTTTGTATATTTTCAGGTTATACAACATGGTTATATGATTAAACTATATCTGTTGATCTATTTATATACATCAAGTCCAAAGAAAATTATTAGATATCTAAAGGCTATAGAATATGGTTCCAAAAACACATTTTATGTGGATTTTCACATCTTTGCAGCCACAGTGGTGCATATATAGGTGTAGCTTTTTTTTTTTTTAACCTACCTTAAAAACAGTGATAGCCACCACATAGGGTCACTGTCCACACCTCATGGTTTATAGATACTGTTTACTAAAAGCTAGTTAGCTCCGTTGAAGACTATTGTAGGGAATTTAATGAGAGAATAGAAACTATAGCCTTTTGTTTTATTTTAAAAGTGGCTTTCTGAGACACCTGTATGCCTGAATAAAAATGTTAATGTATACTTATAAGCCCTAGAAATGAAATCTTACATAGTCTATTTTAGACAATAAAAATTGAAGCTGTGTGCTGTTCTCCCAGCAGTTGACAATTACTTATGGAGATACAAAATAGATTTTAAGGAGCCCTCATTTATGAAACTGATAATGGTGTGCCTAATTTACCAGAGAAATCACTTTTTGTATTTTTTTCCTTTTATAAAGATAATTCTGAAGGCAAATGTTTTCTGTAAAGTACATTTAGTACTTTATAGTACCATTTGTTCTTAATTCACAAAATTTTATGTATGTGTAACTTGGGAGGAATGAATTATAATGTATACTGTTAGCTATTACACTGTTTATTTTTGAAACCTGAATTTCAGAAAGAACGACAGAAAACAGCAGGGGATGGCTGGTTTGGTATGAAAGCTCCAGAAATGACAGATGAACTGAAAAATGATCTCAAAGCACTGAAGATGAGAGCAAGCCTGGACCCAAAAAGGTTTTATAAGAAAAATGATAGAGATGGCTTCCCCAAGTACTTCCAGGTATGAAGCAAATAGAATAGTGGTGATGTGTGGATTTTAGTTTGGAAAGCACTGTAGTGATCTTTCTTTTTACTCTTAAAATAGATGGATATTTACAATGTGCATACCTAATATGTGGACTTATCTGTGTAGGCCATGTAATAATGACCAGAACCCAATTCAGATAGCCACTAGCTTATAATGGGTTCCCATATAGCAAGATGGTGTTACAAATGGTAGATAAGTTTCCAGGTCAGCTCTCTAAAACTTTGTAAACCTATAAGGTTCAATATATAAACATATGAATAGTACTAGCTTAAGAGCAAGAGTCCATGCAGGATGGAGAGAGAAAGAGGGAGTCATTTGTACCAATCCCTTCCTCTTTTCAAGATACAGGAGTATCCTCAGGCAAATTCTAAAAATAGTTTAAAATTTAGTTTTTAGATGAAAGTCCAGTTGATTCATCCTCCTGAAGTTCATTTCATTCTTGACTGCCATTTTTGTCACTTATCTCTGGATTACTATAATAGTCTTCTGCCTCTAGGTCTGCTCTTCCTTCTAGTCTGTCATCCATAGTGTAGCCAATCCTGTATTCTGGGGGGAAAAATCTGTTCATATTACACCTCTGTTCAGAAAGTTTCAGTGATTCTTTATGGTGTATAAGAGTCTATATGCGTTGATGTGGCCCTTAATAATTTGCACCCAAACCAGTTCACCTGCTCTTCTTTTGTAATATAGCCTTCTTAAGGTCTAACATACTCAGCTATTCAGTCTTCTCAGAACATGCACATACCAGTATAGTGTTTTGTTCAGCATGTTTTATGCTATAATTTTTTAGGTACCTGTCTGTGACGCATCCTTAAGTTTGTGGGCTCCTTGCTGCAGGGACCAGCAAGTGTTGTCTTTGTTTCCCTAACATGTAGCACAGTGCCTGGCACGCAGGCAATCTATAAATTTTAGTCAGTTGAACATATACAGAATAGTCACTAGGCTCTAAGCTGGCAGCATTTATAATAACCTATGAGACCAAATAGGTATGTAGTAGAATTTATGTGTGTGTAATTCATTGAATTGGGAAATTTAAAACAAAAAAAATTTATATTATCTGTTCCACCTTTTTCCTTTAAACTGTTCCTTAAGAATTTACTGTAAATCAGCCTAAATTTTAGAAAGATTTTGGTTCTGCTGTAAACTAATGAAAAAACATCATTAGTAGCACCAGTATGCTGAGTAGGTGATTTATTTTTGCCTCAAAAAAATGGCAAGTCTAACTTTAATATTGGTATAATATAAGCCTGTGTTTTCCATTCCTTTCTATAAATATACTTTGTTGGAGCTAAACTGAAAGTGAAAGCAACTTGGTGTTCAGTATTGCATGAATTGTTTCAATCAATTGTTCATAGATGGGAACCATTGTTGACAATCCAGCTGATTTCTACCATTCACGAATTCCTAAGAAGCAAAGGAAAAGAACTATTGTGGAAGAATTGCTTGCTGATTCTGAGTTTAGAAGGTAAAGGAATTTATATTCCATTTTACAATGTGTGTGCTCTTTAACTCATCTTAAAATAACCCATTACATATTAATATGAATATATTTTTTCATGAAAATAACAAAACAAAAATAAATTAATTTCTTTACTATCTGGCTTAATTAAAGACAGAGCCTCATACTAGCTTCTGCAGATGCCACACATCATGTGGCCTCTGGAAAACAGCACTTACAGAAGGATAAAGGTGAAAAAGGCAATTAATGCCTTAGTATTCTTAAGAAAATAGTTTTTACCTAACGGACCCCTTGCAAGTCTCTCATCTGCAGGCTACTTTGTAAACCATTGGTCTATCTGCAGACTACTTTGTAAACCATTGGCCTATATGTCCTTATTTTTACATTTGTATCCCACAAAAATGTTCAAAGCATTTGACATTGCCTGTTAAATGGATATAGTACAGGGGTCTGTAACGACTGAAAGTTTTCAGAAATCCTCCTACTACAGTTGCCATTTTTTTCCTCACTAGATTACAGGCTCTGTGAGGGCAGAGATTATAATAGCTGCCTTGCCCAGTGTTCTTTCCCCAACTTTTAGTATGGCTACTAATACATGGTGGCAACTTAGTACACATGTGATGAATAGATAGTAAAAGTGCAACAAATTTTGAAATTTAGGAACCCCTTTCCCAAGACTATATTAACTTCTTAAGTCTGTTGTGTTGTACTTCAGAACATAAAGGTTTGATTTTTCTTTTCAGATATAACCGAAGGAAGTATTCAGAGATCATGGCTGAAAAAGCAGCAAATGCAGCAGGAAAAAAGTTCCGAAAGAAGAAGAAATTTCGCAATTAGGATTTACCAAGCAAACCACAACATTTTACATTTCCCTTTTATTTACTTACTAAAGATGTTTTGAAAACTAATACCCATTATCTAAATTATATTGGCCTTGTTAATACAGGGATTTCTGTTTGGAAAGAGTTGAGTTGAGGGAGATTCAATCATGTGTCCTTGGGAAAATAAATGTGTCTACAAAAGACACCCTCCCACCCCAGGTTAAATTCTTTTAGGGAAAAAAGGAACCTCAACCATTTTAGGATAATTAATGTTTTTATAAAGTTTTCAATGCTTAGTTATTTAAAGAAAATCTAATTAGAAGATATGTAGGTATAAAATTTGCTAATGTGTTCAAAGAACTTTAAAAATGATTAAAGATACATAAAAAATATAATATGCATGTTTTTGTGTGTGTGTATATATACATAGAGGGGAGATGGTAGATAGGCAGTGTCCTACAGTCAGCTATAGATTCAGATCCAGAAAGTTGGCGAAGTTGGGATACAAAGATCTGCTTGTTTCTACTATAAAAGTCACGGATGAAAAAAAGGAGTGATAAAAGTGTTCTTGGAGCAGATGTATGTTAGCATAAAACCAAAGAACTACATGAAGCTATACTACATGGGACTTAAAAGATAAAGACAACTACCTAGAAAGTTTGGGTTAAAGAGGGGAGAGCTGTTTTCCTTCGTTGGCAACTAAAACAGGAGGAATGTGATTTTTTTAATCCAGATTCAGTGTTGTGTTCCAAGTGAAACAGGATTAAACAATATAATTTTAACTTGGCCAGGAGGTGAAATGGCCCAGTTTATCTCGTTTCCAGTGACACAAGTATGCATCTTGTGTCTAAGCTGCTTTCTGGCACTCAATGAGTGTTGGCCATTTCTGTTGATGCTTGCTGAGCTGTGGCTTCCTTTATGTCACTATGGGATCTCTATTTTTCCAGCATATTGTTTCCCCAAGATTTCAGTAAATATGAAATTCCGTATTTACTGCTTGGAGACACAGGCAACATAGTAATACCAGAACTGACGATAACATTTGTAGGTGCAGGTGGGGAAGGAAGCATCTGTGTCTGTTTTCTTTCATTTTATATAAAAAGTTTTATTTCAGAAATACTGTCTTGCTTTCTGTTGAGTAAAATAAGGACCTGATGAGAGAATTAAATATTAAAACAGGAAGAAGAAATAACTGAGTTATTTTAGCCTTCACATTTCTAACAGAAGATGTTATTAACAGAACACATCAACTTATGTTACTATGCTGTAAGAACACCCAAAGTTGTTGATTATTCAGAATAATGTTTCTCTGCATAGACAATTGAAGACTGACACAATTATTCTCAGACTTACAGTGTGGACCATCTTACCTGCTACATGATTTTCTTGATGTTTTCCAATTCGCCAGTACTAGAGCACGTTGCATTATTCTACATTGCAAAACTGCAATTACAACAATCTGTGTTTTGAGTGTTTACTTTTAGTTACATTTTAACATCCATGCTCTTTTTTTTTGTCTCTATTGATTCATTTTTAATTTTATTATATGTATTTTTTATAAGCCACTTAAAAAGCTTGGAACAAAGTATAGAGTTTTTAATAAATGTGAAACATTTACCTTATTCAATGAAATGAACTGGAAAAGTAAAAATCATTTAAAGTTACCTATTGTAAGAAATTAAAACCAATAATATTAATATGTACAGCTTTTTCATGTCAAATGTGATCTTCATAATTTTTATTAAAGAAAGTACATGTTTATTTTAGATCTTCAAAATAGAGTAAAGAATAATATCTAAAAAGTACACCTTTTAGTCTCGTGCTCCTGGCCTCCTATAATTATCTGGATATTTGAATAATGAATGAATTTGAATTTTTAAGCAAAGCAGTTCTGTTGAGAAACAGGTTTTAGTGACTTTGGCTTGTGTCACTAAACTTAGTCCAGCTATTGGAACAATTTTAAGGCTTAATAACTAACCAAAAGTACCAGAAAAGCATAAGGAATAAGAAGGGCCTTCAAAATATTTGGACAAGATCTGTAAAATAATGCTGTATTTCTACTCCATCTTGTTCTGAATTGCTTTTAAGACAGCTTATAAAAAATGCCTACAAATCTAGGAAATTAGGGCTAGGAAAACAATGGAACAAATTGAATGAAGCCAAACTGAAATTAATACAGCAAAGTAGATGCTGTGAAACTACAGTTGATAAAGGTGGGCTCTGGGCTAGATTCCTAGCACTAATATAATCAGTTCTGTGTTCAGTGTTCTGCCATATGATAAACTGCTCTAGAGAAACCATTATTCCTATTTTTAAAACCTAAGAAAATGTCTCTTATAGGTCCCCATAACAAGGATGTCACAATAGAGGCCATGGTTGCCTGGCCAGAAGATAAATGACAGGCTTTTAAGGAAAAGGGGTCCAGAGGGTGCTGTATAGAAAAGTTCAACAAAACCTTGAGTAACTAGGACAAATTCATGGAGTCCCATTCTTAGAAATATTAAGTTACAAGAAAATAAATGAAAATATATTTTTAACATCATTTCTGGGCTATATGCCAGGTACTCAGTTCACTTTCTGAGGCAATGACAACTACTGTTGTGAAAATAGCTACCTAATAGCTACCTACGACAGATACTGAACCATCAAAAAGTGTCCAGTGTTTACTTAATTGAATTGTACTTGGTATTTAATTGAATTAATGTTTTTATTTTCAGTAAGGGCTGATACAAAAAGGGCTTTCTAGCTAACCAATTTCCCAAATATCTATCTAATCAAAATGTAAAACACCGGTCTTATTGTTAGACAATTTTTAAAGTGAAGAAGTGTTTCCAGTTTTTAAAGTGAAATGCTTCCAAGAAGTAGGGTCAGTAGCATGGCCTATAATTGTCATAGCAGGTTAGTTAGTGTTCTATTAAAGAAATGAAATATCTCCAAATGAACAATGAAATGTAAAATTAGATAACAGCTGGGGAGCGGGAGTCTGAAACGGAAGGGGTTATCAATAATACTGAACACCAACTGTAAGAAAGCTGTAACTATTCTGGGTTCAAGTGACAGATAGTGGGTAATATATGTTCATCTTGATTATCACTGCATAACTACCCGAAAACTTAGTGATTTAAAATCATCACTTTTAAAAGTATGGTGACAATTGAAATTTTTCTTCAGTTTAACAGTACAGCACAGAAATTACTATAAAACCAAAATACGACCAACACACTTGTATTCGTGTGGCACTAAAGGCTTTAGCATGGTATTTGGGAAGGTTTATTCCCCACCTGCCTCCTTCCTAGTCACCCTTCCTAAGGGAAGAGGAGTTGCTCACCAGATTGATGTGAGCCTGAAGTACCCGCTGGACCATGTTTTTACAAATGGACAGAGTTGCCATGTCAACAGAACAGGTGACTGTATGTACAGTCACTTTTGCCCTACTGGGGAGCAAACCTGTCATACTCTTTTCCAAACAAAGTGGGAAACTGGACTCAGGGCTTCCCTGAAGCCAGGCCATCCCTATTAATGGTGGATCATTAATGGGTGGGAATGATGGAAACATCAGTTTTTCCATCACAGCTTACTTGTGGAGTCCTGAAATCAGAGTACTCTCCTAGCTATTATACTAAATGGTACTTTCTCATTGGCTATTGTTCCTTGTGGTCACAACCTCCTTGGTCAGGATTGCAAAGCAGAGGCTGGTAGGGCTCAGGTACTAAAACTGTGACCTCAAACTCCATGTAACATACTGAAATTCTGAGGTATTGTTCATTAAGGGGAATGAAATATGGGTATAAAAATAGATTTAATTCCACTTACCATATGAATTTTAGCTATCATGTAGTGAAGAATACTATTTAATACAAATGTCTTTGGAAGTGTTCCTTGACCATTTTCAATGGTAGAAAAGAAATAGAGTCATCTGTATGAAAAGAGATTTATGTTTATGAAGTTTTGTTCAGTCTCTCCTCTCCTATATTTACTCCCCATCACTATAAATTGAGGGACATTTAGAGGAGTCATTTATTAACACCAAAACAAATACATTGTTTGTGGTCAACTGGAAAGTTTTCTAAATCCTAAGGTTTAGTGTATTATCAGAAAGACCTATTTTTTTCATACATATATATGTAATATGTGCATATACATATACAAATATATATACACAAATTTGTATATATACACAACCCAAAATGACTATGAGATAATGAGTTAGTAGAACAGAGAACAAGCCATAGCTTAATTCTGGAATGTAAGTTTATCAAAACTTCAGGTTATCTGTGACACCTACCCTTCCAGCCAAATCTGCCACTTCTCCCAACTTCAATTGTTGACAGAAGGTCATCTCAGCTGCTTGGAACCCACCCTCCCTCCAGGAGAAGGGATTTCAAGCAAAGTGAGATGGAATTACATTAAACAACTGGCCCAGTGCCTTGGGTGATCGCTGGATGGATCATGACTTTAGTCCTTTTTATGTATTTCACCTGAATATAGTCCTTTAGGATTGACTCTTGGTTTTTCCTTTAGTGAAATCATTATCCATATTTAGCCATGGACATTCAAATCAAAATGGCCCTGTAGTTCCTCAAGCTCAAGTTCATCAATTCCAGTTATCCTCATTTCCACTTCACCTTAGCCAATCACTATCATGGCCTTAGACCCATGACTCGAAACTGGTTCAATGGTCAAGATTTTGAACTCTGACTATCCTAAACTGTTATCCTGTTGGTCTTCTTTCAGTTCCCTCTAACTCAACCTTGTCTGCACTTTGGAATTACCTGAGGTGGCTTTACCTCTCACCCACAACATTTGGGGGTCCCAACCTCAAACATAGTGAAATCATGATCTCAAGCCTTTCCGCCACCCTGTATTCTCTTAATCCTCCACCCCCATCAGGATACATTTTTCTCCCTAACCAATCTGGACCCAATTGGTCATATATTTCAAAAATTATTGATATATCTCACTAGTTTCCTTATTGTTGGTAGTCTTTTGATTTCTGTTACTCTCACCTACTAATGTCAGCTAGGGAAACACCTATTCTTTATGGTCCAGATTATTGAGATTGGAAAGTATTATGAAGCTAATGACCCTCACCTGGGTTAACACTGTTGCTCCACAAGTCCTTTATTCAATTTTTATTACTTTCCATCAAATTCATACATTCATTCTGCAAGTCAGCCAACACAAATAATTGAGTCTTCTACATTATTTAAGCATTAAGGTACAGCAGTGAAACTAAATATATTAATATACTCTACCCAAAGAGCACACAGGGGATACAACAGGGTATTTCCATTCTCCCAGAGCCCCCAACTTCCACTCCTACCCTCAGCAGATTACCTTATCTCCTCCTTCACTAAGCCAGCTGAGGCTATCTAAGTCTGCCTTAACATCTCATGACTCCACCAGTCTGGAGACACTATTTCTGCATGCATCCTAACTGCTACATAGTCAATGCTTTTTTCTCAGTCTTCATCCCTTCTGACCGGGAAATGTTATTTGACACGACTCATCTTCCCCTTCTTGAAGCTTGAGCTGCTCTCTGTTTCTGCAAGATCAACTTTTCTACTTCTATTGACTCCCTATTTCCATCATTCATTTTCTTATTCTGTCCACCAATTAAATTGTTGGTTTCCCTAATGCCTGCTCTTTTATCTTTTCTCTCTACTGTTTGACTTGAATATCTTATCCTTCCTCTCCCTTCAGCTTCTGCTCTCACCTCTGCAGAAGCCCCCGAACCTCCATCTTTCCATCTCTTACCACCACCATACCCCCACTCCAGACTCACATATTCAACTGTGTAAGCTGCAAATCTGAGTACCATAAAGTCATCTCAAATTCAACATATCCAGAACCAGACACATCATCTGAGATGGTTAAATAAGAGCTACCACCATGCCTGACACATACTCAAAAGGAAGCTACTACATTCCCTTTTCTACTCCATCCTCCCCATTAGAAAGTCTTCTTAAAACAGTTTCAGTGATGGCATACTGCTTCTTACCTTCTTCGGCCCACTAATAAAACCTGTAGAAACATCTACATTCAAGACCCTCCATAAAATGATGCCATCACAGGTTTATATTCACTGCTCCCCTACTCATGCTCCAAACTTCATTTATTCTGGTCATTTGCCTATTTCTCTCTCAGCTCTTTTCCCAGCCCTTTCTCTACTCTGCTCTGGATTGTAGGAAACTACATTTCCCAAATTCCCTTGCTAACTGGCTTGCTAGTAAGACACTGACAAAAGACTGAAGGGCAGGAAGAAGGGAGAAACCAGGGTGTTTCCTGCCTTCTCTGCCTTGGGTTGGACTGCAGCCCCATCATGGTCCCAGCTCCCAGCAGGCAGCCCCCACCTCTGGATGGCCCAGGCTTCCAGGCTCTGGTAACACTATCTCCTCCATTGTACCTCTAGCACTTGGGGTGGTAAAGGTTTCCTACTGTTGCAGTCTCTGGGTTGCCTACACTGTCAGCATTTCTTTCACCTATGCAATAATCCCCTGTATTCAGTCCTCTAGAGTCATGTGTTTTTCTGCCTAAACCTAACTGATACATTTCAGCCAAATCAAACTGCTTGATACTGAGTATTCACTTGGTCAAAATATACTGAGTTCTATGCACACTAGGTACTGTGCCAGGTACAGGGCATTTTCACCCTTTATATCTTTGTTCATATGGTTGATTCCACCTAAAATACCTTTCGTGCCTCCATTTCACCTAACAAAATAGTACTGACCTTTCAAAAGCCTATTCAACAACCAATATTTTGAGCACCTACTGTGCTAGGTACCACACTAGGTGCTGGGGGTACCCAAAAAGAAGTGAGGTCGTTCAAGCCATTACAGAGCTGACAGTCTACATGTTTTCATAAAACCTTTTTCAGATTCTCTCCACTGATGTGTATACTCTTCAAATTCCCATCTGACTATACTTATTTTTACTCCATTTATTTGTATTTAACATATGTCTATATAGCACTTATTAAGTGTCAGGGACTGTTCTAAGGAATTAAATATAACTTATTTTTATGTTACCCTTAGGTATGTATGTACATATGTAACATATTATTTTTGTATGTAACAACTTGGGTATTAGGTAAACCTAAGAGGTAAGTGCTAGTATTATCACCATTCTATAAGTGAGAAACTGAGGCACAGAAAGGTTAAATAACCTAAGGTTACAGAGTTAGTAAGTCTCTTTGTCACACTTTTTAATTTATTCTTACGCTATAGCTATCTCCATACCTGTTTCAGCAACACTGGCAGAAACTGCTGACTTCTTCCCTTTCCCTGCAGTTACAGGACACATGATTTTTAGCTGAGAATCTGGCCACCTGGGGAATGATTCCCACCTCCCATGGGATGTTAGTAGAAGTGGTATGTGCAACTTCTGGGACATGTCCTTCAGGGAAGGGTGAGATTGGAGGGGGCCCTTCTCTGTCCCTTTATCTCCTCCCCACTAGGTAGTACACTGGCCTGATGGTAGGGGCAGGAGCAACAGCACTGGAACAGGAAGTGGGAGCTGCATTTTGAGAACAGAAGAATGAGGAACCTGGATCTCCCAGGATTAAGTAGCTACTATTCCCTGGAATTTTACAGGAAAGAGAAATAAGCCTTTATCTTGTCAAATCCACTGTTATTTTGGGTTTCCTGTCATTCACAGCACAAACCAATCCTAATTAGTGGAATCACCAATCCATGGCTCCCTGTCCCTCACCAGGCTGAACTTTTTAGAAAACACACTATCGCACTCATCTTTGTATTTCCTATCTGCATGCTTCCCTGCACAAACCAATACTCAAAAAATATATCTTGAGAGTGAATGAGGTTATAAAATATAAAAAACATGCTGATGAATGCAGAAGGTCCCATATAAGGAGGAGTTGGAATGAAACCACTCCTGGCCCCTGGTCTTGTAGAATCTGTATTGGCCACAGGCAGCAGTAAGGTAGGAGTATCTCCATCTTTGTGGCAGCTCCCACTGTGTCACTACCTTCTTGGGATCCAGATGTGTGAGGTGGAGCTGTAAAAGAGAGCACAAAGAAAACAGGCCCTCAAATGTGAGCACCTTCAATTTTTCCTTCTCCACCTTCATGCTTTTCTTTATCTCTGCCTTCATCCCTCTGAAGAGCAGACATTTTTCTATCATTCCTAGGCTAATCCTTCCACTTGACTCCCATGACATCTTTGCATCTTAACTTTCTCATCTGTAAAATGGGGATGATTCATACTTCTTAGAATTAGGGGATAATGGAATGACAAAAGTTAAATAAAGTTGCTGGCATAAAGCAGGTATTCAGAAAATGTTAGGTGTTTCCCTTTTCTTCTTGAGCCCCTTCTCCTCCAGAGGGAACTCACCCCATCAGTTTTGGTGGAAACACTTTCTCCTGTGTCTCCTCCTACCTCTCTGGCTTCCCTTTCTTAGTCTCTTTGAAGGACTCATTACCTATCCTTCAAATGTCTGTGCTCTGGGTTTCTGTCCTCAGCCTTCATCACTTCTTACTCTATACTTTCCCTGCACAATCTCATCTAAGTCCAGAGCTTCAAATGCCATCTGTAGGATAATGAATTTTATTTTTATTTTTTAAAGGTATTTTCTTATATTTATTTCCATTCAAGGATAATGAATTTTAAATCCCAATCCTAGACGTGTCCCCTGAGCTCCAGACCTTCCCTTGTTTTCCTTCTCTCTCCATATCTACTATTTTCAATTCTTTCCTTCCCTCCCACATTCTTTTATTCTGTAAATATTTATTGAGATCCTGCTATGTGCTTGGCTTGCCAGCCATACATCTTCTCCAGGATGCTCCACATAGACTTGTAGGTGCTCAAATTCAGCACCTACAAAGCTGAACTCATTTCTCCCCAAATCCACTTCTCTCTCTTTTATTTGTTGTCCCAATGACTATTTTCAGCACCAACCTATCTGCCTAATTAGAAATGGGAGTCATTCTGACTGCTCCCTCCCTCTCCTCTATATCCCTTAATTCAAGGTTCATCAATTTGGACTGCCTTGAAACAACTCCAGTTTGTATCCTTACCCTTTAACCCATACCACCTCCCTAGTTCCAGCCCTTGTCATTCTCTAACCTAGATGGCTCCAGCTGCCCTTGAACTGGTCTTCCAGCCTCTAGTCTTGTGCTATTCCACCCATGATCCACACTGCAGCCAGACAGATCTTACAAAACACATATCTAATCCTACTACCTCCCAGCTAAAAGCTATTCAGTAGTTTCCCATTGCCTCTAGGGTTAAGTCCACAGTCCTCAACATGGTGTTCAAGACCTGCAGGATATGGTCCCTGTTGGAATCACTCGGTGAAAAGATTTTTTTATGTTTCTTCAGTCTTAGGAGGAGCTTCTAGAGGTGCTTAATAAATGGGCTCCTAAAGGGCTTATTTAGTACTGAGATTCAGCATATAGTAGAATGTAAGGGATCAGTAAATGTGTTTTCTCCTCATTAGCATTAGGGTTTTTTTTTGTTTGTTTTAATTTTACTCTCTTTTAATTAATTATTTTAAAGAGGCAGAGTCTCTTTCTGTTGCCCAGGCTGGAGTGCAGTGGCACAGTCACAGCTCACTGCAGCCTGGACCTCCTGGGCTCAAGCGATCCTCCTGCCCCAGCCTCTTGAGTAGCTGGGACTACAGATGCCCACTACCATGCCCAGCTAACTTTTTTATTATAAGGATAAGATGGGCTCATTATGAAAAAAACTCAAACACTGCAAACAAGTATACAGAAAAAAAGGAAGGCCATCCCTTCATCCCCTTGCCCTCTCCTGACCCAGCACTATCTTGAAGTAACCACTGTTAACTGTTTATATATCCTTCCAGAAATCTTTTATGCACACACAATCATAGTGACAAGCATACATTATTACTACTGTTATTATTAGCATTATTTAAAAAAAATGGAATCTTATTTAAAATATTCATTTGCATATCAGGTTTTTCATATAATCTTGGACATTTTTCCATAGCAGTATATATAGATATTTCTCATTTTTTAAAGGTCTGCATTGTATTCAATTATAAGCCTCTACCACACTTTCTTCAAACAGACAAATATTGATAAACATCTAGGTTATTTTCCAGTTTGGGGGCCATTATAAGCAATGCTGCATTTGCTATTAATTTGGTGGTAGATAATTTCAATCTTTCTAAATATGCAAAAATTATAAAATATTAGAATATTAAAATGAATATTTACCACAACCTAGTGGAATTTATTTCAGGAATGTAAGACAAGTTGAATATTAGAAAATCTGTTAATATCCTGTAAAATATGAATAGATCAAATAAGAAAAACCTCCACAGATTATTAACAAATAGGGATAGGTATTTCCTTCCTTTCTTTCTTTCTTTCTTTCTTTCTTTCTTTCTTTCTTTCTTTCTTTCTTTCTTTCTTTCTTTCTTTCTTTCTTTCTTTTCTTTCTTTCTTTCTTTCTTTCCTCCTCTCCTCTCCTCTCCTCTCCTCTCCTCTCCTCTCCTCTCCTCTCCTCTCTCATTTCTTGAGACAGAGTCTCACTCTCTTGCCAAAGCTAGAGTGCTGTGGCATCAGACTAGCTCACAGCAACCTCAAACTCCTGGGCTCAAGCAATCCTGCTGCAGGCAAGTGCCACCATGCCCGGCTAATTTTTTCTATATATTTTTAGTTGGCCAATTAATTTCTTTCTATTTTTAGTAGAAACAGGGTCTCAATCTTGCTCAGGCTGGTTTCGAACTCCTGGTTTCGAACTGCCTGCCTCAGCCTCCCAGAGTGCTAGGATTACAGGGGTGAGCCACCACACCCAGTGGGTTAGGTATTTTCTTAATGTGATGAAATACATGTATGTGTTTGTGTGTGTGTTCATGCATATCGACACTAATACTAAAAGCCAGTATCATGCTTAGTAGAGAAGTACTCCTATTATGACCAGGAATAAGATAAGGAAGTCCATTATCACCATTATAATGAACTACTATTTAATATATTCTGGAAATAATTGTACTAACTGATGCTATTACAAGAAAAGTAATATGAAGCATAAAAATTAGAAAGGATAAAGCAAAATTATCATAATTTGAGGCTATTTCCAGAAAACACAATTTAGTCAACTGAAAAACTATTTTTCCTTCTTTTAAATTAAAATATAACTCACATACCATAAAATTCACCCCTTTAAAAATTATATAATTCAATGAATTTTTATATATTCAGAGTTATGCAACTATCACCACTATTTCCAGAATATTTTCATCACCTACAAAGAAACCCCACACCCATTAAGCAGTCACTTCACATTTCCCCACCCTAATGCCTGGCAATCATTAACTTAACTTTCTGTCTCTATGGATTTGCCAATTTTGAACATTTCATATAAATGGAATCATACAATATGTGGTCTTTCATGACTGGCTTCTTTCACTTAGCATAATGTTTTCAAGATTTATTCATGTTGTAACATGGATCAGTACCTCATTATTTTTCGTTGCTGAATAATATTCCATTGAATAGATACATCACATCTTGTTTATCCATTCATCAGCTGATGGACGTTTGGATTGTTTCTACTTTCTGGCTATTAAAAATAATGCTTCTATGGACATTCTTGTACATGTTTTTGTGTGGACGTATGTTTTTAATACTCTTGGGTATATACCTAGAAGTGGAACTATTGGGTCATGTGGTAACTCTAATGTTTAACTTTTTGAGGAATTGCCAAAATGTTTGCAAAAGAGGCTGTGCCATTTTACATCCCCATGGGCAATGTATAAGGGTTCCAGTCCTTGCCAATACTTGTATTGTCTCTCCTTTTCATTATAACCATTGTAATGGATATGAGGTGGTGACTCATTGTGGTTTTGAACTGGAAAACTATTTCAAGTAGGACACATGCTACAATATTATTTAAAATATCAAAAGCTTTCTTATATACAAACAATAACCAGTTAGAAAATATAGAAGAAAAGATTCCCAAAAAGATGAAACTATCTAAGAATAAAGTTAACAAAAAAAGTCAACATCTATATGAAGAACATTTTTTAAAAAATTTATTTCCTTGCTAAGGCAAGGCCTCAAAAAATGGACCAAAAACTCAAGAGTTGTTCCTCTCCACGGAAATCTTTAGTAACAGGTGAAAGATTTATTCGATCTGAAGAGAAAACAGAGCATGTATATGAAGAACATTTAACACTCCTGAAAAGCACAGAAGGAGGGTTGAACAAATGAAAAGGCAAAGCTGTTCTTTTTTTCTCCCTGCTGCTCTTAAATAGGGAAACTCAACATGAATTATTTAAATTCTTCCTATTTTTATTTATAAATATAACACGACTCCAACAAAAATACCCCCTAAGATTAAAGCCAGACTAACTGAACCTAAAAACTCATGTGAAAAGACAATATAGCATTGTGGTTTCACCCACAGACCCAGGCTTCCTAGGTTCCTACCCATGCTTGCTGCTTATTTGCTGAGTATCCTTACACAAATTACTTAACCTCTCTGTGTCACAGATGCTTCTTCCATGGAAGGAGATAATAATATTTACCTCGTAGGATTGTTAGGAGCATTAAATGCATTAAGACACATAAAGCACTAATAGCACTTGGCATATAACAAATGTCACGTAAGTGCTATTATTATTATTATGTGGAAAAATAACTCAAGAATAGGTGGAAAATATCTTTTTAAAAAAGTAACAAGGGAGGACTAACCCTATTAGATATTAGAAACAACACAGTTCTGGTAAATCAAAACTAATGCAGACAAGTTAATGGACTAGAACAGAGAATCCAGAAACCCAAATGCATGTGGGAATTTAGAAAATTATAAAACTGTAATAGTGAAGAAAAGGAGTGATCATCATGGTTGATTTTGGGACAAAATTCCACTCCTTACACAAAAATACATTCCAGATGAAACAAAGATAAATAAAACCATACAAATGAAGCCATTACTTAAGGAAATTACTTAATAATCTGAGTGCAGTGTGACCCCAAATCTAGAAGCCATTAAAGAAAAGATTGATAAATCCAAATATATAAATTTTTGAAAGACAGTAAAATAAACAAAATATCATAAATAAAATCAAAAGATAGACTGGAGAAGAATAATTGTAACATGTATTACAAAGGGCTGTTTTCCTTAATGTGTAAAGAACTCCTACAAACTAATAAGAAAATGACCAGTGACACAATAGAAAAGCGAGCACAACTCGAGAACAGATAAATCACAGAAAAAGAAATACAAATTACTCTATGAAAAGATGTACAACTAGAAACCATTTTTCGCCTGTTTGAGAACATGTGGGTTGTAGGGAATCAGGCACTCACCTCTTGATAGTAAGAATAAAATAGGCATAATCTCTATGAGGGCAATTTGCCAACATTTATCAAAGAATGCACAATCCAACCTTTGGACCAACAATTCCATTTCCTAGAAATCTATTCTACAGCTGTACTTGCACTTGTGTACAATAATATAAGAACCAAGATGTTCACTGAAGCACTGTAATAAAATATTAGACACCTAAATGTCCAGCTATTAGGGGCTGTTAAATCATTGATTCTATGTACAAGGGAACAAGGCAACAAGGCACCTCTACATGTATTAATAAGCGAAAGAAGCAAGTATAGCATACTACCAATTGTGTTTTTAAATGCCTACATATCACACGTATCGATGACATTAACAAATATACAGATACTGAGAGAGACAACAGATATAAAAAACGCTGACATAAACATAAAATAAATCTGAAAATATTTCCAAGAAACCACTATGGCTAATGGCTTGTGGAGAGAATTGCAAGGCTAGGATGGAGGAATAACAATGTTGTTTACTTTTCCTTGTGCCTTTTTTGACAATTTTGGAATTCGTCTCCTTTGTGTGAATTACCTGTTCCATTGTTAACAATGAATTTTAAAAATTCCATTCATTTCTCGATTTATTCGAATTAACTGAGGTGGAACTCTAAACCTTACGCAAAGCTGAGAGTTGTCAGAAGAATTGGCACAAGGAGGGAATTCCTGCCTCGAGGAGCTGACCAGCAGAACGGGCCTAGGACCTCTCTGCGCTGGACTCACGAGGGAGGGGAGGCGGCGGTCTTATCAGAAATGCAGATTCCTGGGCCCCTCCCAGATCGACAGAATTGAGAGTCCCGGAGTGACGCCCAGAAATCTACATTTTTGACAGGATCCCACTCGGGATTCCCCTGGTGTTGATACTGAGGCGCGCGGGCTGGGGGGCGGTCGAGCACAGCGCAGCACCGCGTAGGGTGCAGGCGCGTTTCCTCCTCCCTCCTCGCAGCCACCGTCTGGCTCTGGGCATGGGGGCGTCACCCGAGACCCAGGCCTCCCACCGATCCCCTTTAGGCCGAAAACGCGAGGCCTTGCTTTGCTGTCGCCTGCTTTCCCACGGCCGCCGCCGCCGCCGCCGCTTCGGGCCGCTCTTCCCGGGACCCAGACAGGTTCCTGACTCGGCTGAGCCAAGCCCTGAGCCGCCGAGGACTAAGAGCTGAGGGGACGTGGAACCATGCGAGCCATTAAAGGAGAAAGGACCGTGACAGCTGCATGTAGTGGGGCGGGGAGTGGGAAGCGAGTTAAACTGTTTAGGAAAAAGAGAGAAGCGATGGAGGTAGAAAATAAGTTACAGGGGTGGAAAAAACACCACGACTCCGCCGGGACTCGAACCCGGAACCTTTGAATGCCTTCAGCCTCTAGAAGTCCAATGCGCTATCCATTGCGCCACGGAGCCACCTGTTGGAGTCTTTGCGCATCTGCCATATTAAGCCAGAGGCGACGGCCCCGCACCCTCCCCAAACCTTCTTTAGCTGTCTGTGTCGCTAGGGCCCGGCCGCCGCACTTAGGATACTGCCAGCTGTCTCGGCCGCGGGCCGCAAGCGCCCAGCCTCCCCCGGCAGCCGCCTCTCCGCGAAGTTAGCGAGGCCCGCTAGCGAAGAGCACCTGCGGTCCGCCGGCCCCGACTGATCGGTGTGAGGGCTTCCGCAGCCCCGTCTCCGGCCCGCCCCGGGCACCGCCGTACAACTCACGGTCACGCCCTTCCCTCCCCACCTCCTTTCCTGTCCCCAGCGACCCTGCCTACCAGGTCTCTCCGGCGACCGCTCCCGCCCGACCCGAGCCCCACAGACGCAGGCCCAGGCCGGCCGTTGCGCCGTTAAGCCGGGCCGGTGACGCCGGGCACTGACGTCGCGCCTTTGAGCGGCCGATGCCGGACGGCGGCCCCTCGGGCTGCGAGGCGTAGGCAGCAAACCCTCTGAGGCCCCGGGCTCTTCCCTCGCGGCCCTGGCCTACCCGCGGCCGGGAACGCCACTGCGAGCGCGGGCCGTGGCGACGACTGTGTGTGCTTGTGCGTGCTTATTTGCGCAGGGTGCGGAAAATCGGGGTTTGGGCTGCATTTCGCTCCCCACAGACCCAGAGCCGAATTTCTGAGGCATCCGGGCTCTGGTGGACTGAGGGGGGCGACACGCCCCGCGTCGTAGCATCCTCCGAGAGCTACATCCTCCCAGCTACAGCTGCCTCCGAGGACGCCGCGCAGTCGCCCAGAGCCCGCGTGGGCGGCAGCCGGGAAGGCGACTGCGCGCGTGGGAGCGCGCGTGTGCGGGAGCGTGCGGCCGCGGGGTTTCCCGGGGGCCGCGGGCGCGGAGCCCCGCAGAAGGCCTGGCGCCCCAGCTTGGGAGGGCTTGGTCGCCACGAATCCGAGGGGGGACTGGAGGGGGGAACGTATTCAGTGCCCCATTAATCCCCAACGGCACGACCCCAAAGCCACTCGAAATAGACCACCTAAATAAAAGCAGCGTGGTTGCTATGCGACTGCCGCCGCAAGACAAAACCCCTGGCTCCGGTCTCCAATCAGCTTCCCGCTTTCCCGGTCCCGCCTACGTAGAAATTGCGGAGCTGCGCTGGGCGCGCTCTGGAGGCTCGTCCACGGCTCACTTCCGCACCCAGCTGGATTAGCTGCCTCCCGCGGCGGTCCGCTCCGTTCCTCACCGCCCTGCATCGCCAGTAAGCTCTGGCCCTGTTCTGAAGAGGAAAAGGGAACTCCCAGGAAGAGTCTAGTGCCATAGAGGTTTTTACGTTCTTATTTAACTTCACCTCACCACAAAGCTCTAAGGCAGGTCCATACTGCCAACCCCTTTATAAAGAAGGGAAACTGCAGCTAAGAGAGGTTAAATAACTCGTGTAAGGACACCCACACAGCTAGTGAGTGTTGAGAACTGTGAAGAGTCTGAGATTTTACCCAATTTACACATACTAGCATGTAAGCTTTCACAGTTTCATGGATACTGACAATATACGCCAGACTCCTAAGTCAGAGATGAAAGACAGCTACAGCTACAGCAAAAGCAGTAGCCAGTGTCAACATTTGTGTTGGCGCCTTGGACCCCACTTCTCACAGGAATGAAGCATATGGGCTCAGATGCATGCTTGCACACAAATGGGTTGCATTACAGAAGAGGAATGCTAAGCCTGGGGAACCCACCATGTTATAGTGAGCAGTAAGCAGGCTTGCTCTTTGTTCCATAGGGAGACATTACCTCATCCCTCAAGATTGCTCACTGCAAACACAACCCTGAGAAATGGCCCAAGAACGGTAAGGGTCTTGCATTCTTGGCACATCCAGCAAGAACGTGCAAGGACGCTAATGGTGAATTGTTTCTCCGAACAGTAGGTGGCAAAGCCCTGATGGATGCCAGACCTGCCCATTTCATTCCACCCTAATATAAACAAAGTTCTCTGACAACAAGAATTGTATGTATAACATTGTTATGACCCTTTAAACTTAATGATATATAACAAATGTTTTCACATTGCATGCAGGAGGAAGTCTCACATGAACAAAATTAGCCCTTAAAGTGGAATATGGATTTAAATTATGTTAATATTTATTTAAACAAATCTGTATTGAACTCTACAATGTGCCAGGCACTGGTGGCATCTCAGAGTTTCCACTGGTCCTTGGAGTTAGCCCAAGTGGTAGAAGATATGCTCCATGCCCTTGTGGGAAAACCATACAAAGGAATTCTCTGCCTGAGGCGTGGGAGCTAAATTTCAAATGATGAAGAGTCTTTGACGTGATTAAGTAACAATTCAGGCTCATATAAAAGTTGTGGGAAGGGGAGGTTGAGAAAGAAACTATGTGCTAAGGAAAGATGCGCATGTGCTTAATTCCATTTAATGAATCAAACAAAGAATTTTAGATATTTGCCTCCTTCCACTAGTTGAGACAAAAAAAAAGGAAAAGGAAAAGAAAAACCTTTGTCTATGTCATGAAATTTTCTTTCTTCTTCTTTTTATTTTTAGACAGTGTCTCTTTTGCTCAGGTTGGTGTGCAGTGGCATGGTCCTAGCTCACTGCAGCCTGGAACTCCTGGGCTCAAGTGATCCTCCTGCCTCAGCTTCCCTAGTAGCTGGGACTAAAAGTGCTTGCCACCACACCCAGCTAATTCTTTTTCATTTTTTTGTAGAGACAGGGTCTCAATAAATTATCCTGGCTGGTCTTGAACTCCTGGTCTCAAGCAATCTTCCTGCCTTGGCTTCCCACAGTGCTGGCATTATAGGCATGAGCCACCACATCCAGCCTTGTCATGGAAAATATTACCAAGAGTTAGCAGAACTTAGCAGAGGATGTGGAATAAACAGGTTTGTGTAGCACTCTGTGAACAGTGAGAAGACTGAAAAAGTCACAGCAGAACAAAGTCTGATGTTTGTTGGTTCTTTTGACAATTCATAAACAGTTTATAGGAATCTGGCTTCCGAGGCAGCAATATTATCATGTAAGAAGAATGGAGAGTGTATTTAGTTACCATGTGGGGAGAAAGATCCGGCGTGTTTTGTCTTCCCATTTTCTAAGCCTGAGCTGAATTTTCTTAGGCAGTGTGTGTGGTAAACAGCAGCCATTATGCAACCTGAGCCAAGAATTCCTCCAAGTAAAAAAGCAACCTTTCCCTTTTTGCCAGCAGAGGGAGCCAAAGCATGGGTTATAACCACCTTCAAGCGGGCTGATCTTTACCTGTCTGGGATTTGAGTTCCTTGGACAGAAAAGCCCTAAACTAAATACTACTTCATTTTGGTGTTTTAAAGTTCAAATCCATTATACACCTTTGGGGACGTGCAATAACACTTTTCATGTTTGCACAGCAGGATTATTTTTAAGTCACTATGTTGTTCTATAATATTTCCAGTGCTTAGAAGTGATTTCAGACTTTCCCAGAAGCTCTAGAAATCTACTGCATTTCTACAGTACATATTTTCACTAGCTTTGCTTCATGCCAGAGGGGATAAGGTCAGTGGAGCACCAGTTTAATTCAATTCAATGAGTATTTAGGGATAATACAGTTAGGCCTACTATAGGAAATAGAGTGAAAGTTTAAAATACAATTCCTACCTTCAAAGACACTGTAAATTCTCTGGGAGAAATACAGTCCATGAATATGAAGCAATAAGCAAACAATGCAAGACAGCATATAAAAAGTGGCAAAATGTGATTGGGCATCCTTCCGAGTAAAATGTTTTTGAGTTTGCACCCTCAAAGTATAAGCATGCATTACTATGCTAATTAAAAAACATACTTCAAAAAGGAATTTTAAAAGGAGGAGATTTTTAACAAACAAACAGAAACTCTGATAGAGGTTAAAGGTACAGGCTGTGGAGTCAGACTCCTAGTGTTCAAATCTTGGTTCTGCCTTTTGTTCGAAGGACATGATCTTTAACTTCTCTAAGCCTTCTTTTTGTCATCCGAAAAATTGTAAAGTTGTTATAAGGATTACAGAAGTTAATCCTCGCCAGGCTTTATCTCAGTCCTGGCACATGGCAAGTGTGTAACAAGTGTTTGCCATTATTATTAGCAAGCAGCTCTCAATAAAGAAAGCCCACATCCTGCAGGAACAAACCAAAACTCAGCTATAGCATCAGCTAAATTTGTTGCAACCCAAGTAACATTCTACACCACCCTACCCTACTCCTACTCATGTCTGTCACCAAACCAGAACACTTGGCTTCTCAGACTGAAAACATCTACCTTTAGCTTCAAGGATTCCTCACAGTTCTCCATTCAAGAACGTTGGGTGCATTATTTTCATTTGTCCAACCACATGGTTTCCTAAAGCAAGGGTACAGTACAACCCTAAAGGACTTACAAAGACTTGTTTCTTGCCAGATAAAATCAGCTCACAACCTTGAAACAATGGCCTTTTTCATCCTAAAATGTCTTAGCTCTGGGTTTCAGCCAGGCCAGTAATCTAACTGCACTAGGTGGGAATAGGGAAAGGAAAAGAAGAATTTCCATGATGAAGTAAGACATCAAGACAAAAGAAGAAGAAGAAGAAAGTGGAGAGGGTCTTTATGGAAGTACAGTGTTCAGTGTCAAAAGTAGAAAGTGTCAAAAGGTTGGGCTGGTAGGGTCAAGGCCACATGTGGCAAAAAGGGTGAGGACAGACTTGATTTAGGGTGAGGAATGTTCATTTAATGCACTAGGCAATGGAAGCTACTAGTTTCTTTTGCCATGAGAAAGGCTGTGCTTTAGAATGATTAATATAGGAGGTGATGTACAGGCTGGATGGAATGACACTCTGGGTCAGGGTGACTGTTATATCCTATGTAATTTGTACTTGGTGTTTTCCTATGAGTTCTTCATCTCTTCAAGCAAGCAGTGATTGGCACAGTAGTGGCCTTGGGGACACACAAAGATGAAAAAGACATGTGCTTGGCTTACAACCTAATAGAAAGGATGACAGGGACACAAACAGCTGTGATGTAAAGTAAAAGGGTCTCTTAATGAAGTACAGGTGTGCTGGTATGGGACTTCAGGAAAGAGAGAGATTACATCCTGAGGGGGAATTAGGGAGGGAGGCTGCATTTGAAATGGGCTATCTAACCTTTGGCAGACTTACACACAGGATTGTCAGGGTGGGGTGGCAACAAACAGACTGAGAGGATGTAAGGAAGAAGATAGGACAAGGCTAGGAAAATGATAGAGGCTGAGCAGTTCAATGCAGTGTCTGAAAAGGCGTCCGTCACTAGGCCTTGGTTGCAGCAGGTGCCGGTGGAGGAGGTCACTGGAGTTCAGAGCACTGGTGACAAAATCAGGCATGAATCACCTCCTTGAAAATTATAGAGATTTAAAAGTGCTTTGGGAATCCAGAAGAAGAGTCCCTCCCCACCACCACCACCCAACTAGGCTGGAGAACAATGTCTGAGAAAGTTCTTGGAGGAGGTAACATGGGCTGCTGAATCTCAGGCTCCTTAGCCTTTTACTGCAAGTGCTTTGAGACCCTTGCCCCCCTGACTCTCTCAGCTGTGTCTCCTGACAAGTCAAGTCCATTCACTGTACCCATCCATGCTCTGTTGTCTTAACTTTGCTCAAGATTGCAAGGTACATGGGAGCAAGGACAGCGTTTTTCTTCTTCACCACAATGTCCCAAGAGGCTAGTGGAGAGCCTGGCTAATGTGTGGTTTTCTGTCTTCTTTCAAGCTATAAGCATCTCAGGTAGGTGGGTAGGGAGGGGGACCATGTCTTCTCCTTCTTCATCTTTGTAACCTATTAATAGCATTGTGGCCAGCTCACAGCAAGCTGCTTTGGATACTGATTGAATAAATGAACAAATCCTGTAGGCAATAAGGAAGCTACTTGACCACGTGCCTAGCTTAATCTTCTGCTTTAGAACAGAAACTCTTGAAAGCAAAACTTCCTTGCTTTTTAGTTCTTTTGTAATTCTTCCCAAGGCTTAATACAATGCCCTGTACACAGTGGGCATGAATGACTTTGTGGAAGTAGAAGTTGATCTTCAATGTCCTAATTCCTGCTTTCAGTGACCCAGTTTGGGGGACTTGATCTTGGATTCCTTCCCCTTAGACCCACATCTCTTCAAGTTCTCAACAAACTAGGAGGATGACTCCTTTTGGTAAGTGTATTTGGAGGAAAGGCATTCTAAGCCCCACTCCTGGCCCCACAACAAATAACCATCTATTAAAGCTTAGCTAATCTTAATTGTTTAGCAGGTGAGAATGATAATGAAGTAATAACACATTGAGCCAGGCACTTTTCTAAGTTCTCCATATATACAGGAACTCAATCCTCGTAACAACCCTCTGAGGTAGTTAGTGTCATTGTCCCATCCCCAGGTGGGAAAGCAAGCCCCAAGGAAAGTGACAGGATTGAATCCAGGTGCCCATCCCCAAGTTCGCAGTTACTCTGCACTGCAGCTGTTTCTTCGAGAGGAAAGAGATCAGGGGAGAACCAGCAAGCAACTGGGAACAGACCTGTTAGACCAGCGGTCCTCAAACTCTGCCACACTCCAGAATCTTGATGCCCAGGATGCACCCTAAAGCCAATTAAATCAGAATTTCTGAGGGTGGGACCCTGTCATCATTCTTTTTTAAAAACTCCACAGGTGATTCTCATATACAGACCAGTGCACTCTGCCCTTCCTACTGAGGTGCTGCTCGTGGACCAGAAGCACCAGCGATACCTCAGAGCTGGTTAGAAATGCAGGGTCTCAGGCTCCGCCAAGACCTGCTGAATTAAAATTTGCATTTTAATAAGATCTCACAAGTGAGACTCATTTGCATTAAATTTAGGAAGCAGTGATTTAGGACTGAGGTATTTAAGCTCTCATTATTGTACTTGGGCTTCTGTTATTAGCATTAATTTGTGTCCTTAATAAGCAGATCTCAAAAATCCTTCAAAAAGCTCAAAATCAATCTGATTTATTGGCCCAAAAAACGACCTCAGAGGAAACTATGGCCTTTTACTTCCCACTGGGAGGGGACTGGGGAAGAAGTTATGTTGCAGTTGATATGCAACAGAACAGAGGATTAGTCCCTCCTAGAAGAGGCAGACGAATAGCTCCAGGCTGCCTTCCTCCTGAGTCCCAGGGACCAGTCATACTATCTGAGTTAGGCGCTGACCATTCTTGGGCTATGAAACTGATTGATGAAGAAGAGCCTCCCGCCAGAGGTTTTCAAGCTTTCAGGGCTTCGGCTGTTTGCGCATGGTGCGTTTTATCATAGGCTCAGAAATGAAGCTAACAATCCCTTGTCTCAATCGAGATCTTGTTATTTGTTGTCAGCTTTCTGAATCTAACTAGAAACGTCCATTTTTTAGTTGTTTCATGTATTTGTCCTTGCTTTATTTATTTATTTATTTTGTAGAGACATAGTCTGTGATGTCACCCAGGCTGGAGTGCAGTGGCTATTCACAGGTGCGACCATAGTGCATTGCAGCCTCCAACAACCTGGCTGAAGAGATCTTCCTGCCTCAGCCTCCAGAGTAGCTGGGACTACAGGTACGTGCCACTGCATCCAGCTTGCTCTTGCTTTAGAATGTCATTGCCCATGCTTCACTATATCTCCACCAAGTGCTTAAAATAGCATGGTATGGAAGGTACAATTTTTGTAGGTCTTGGTAGTTTTCAAAACCTCATCCACTCCTCACCCTATGATCATATAATCTCTTCATTAAACTTGAAACCAACTGTCAGTGGAACAGCCTGGCTAGTCTCTGTAGGTCAGTGAGAGGAAGAGGAGGATAAAATCTCAAAGAAGCATGGCTGAGTGGTGCAGAATGGTTTAATGGCCTTTGAGACAGTTGTATGATCCTGGGAAATTACTTAACCTCTCTGAATCTATGTTCATACCTCTAAGAGAGTGACAATAATTTCTATTTCACAGAATTGTCACGAGGATTAACTGAGCTGCTGACATACTCTGACATGACAGTAAGGGATCTATAATAGTGATCTATTGCTGTGTTAACAAAAGCTAAAAAAAAAATAGAAATGTATTCTCTCCCAGTTTCCGTGGGTCAAGGAGCATCTTAGCTGAGCAGTTCTGGCTCAGGGTCTCTCATGAGGTTGTCTGGCGCTGTAAGTATCTGAAGGCTTGACTGGGGCCGAAGGATCTGTTTCTAGGATGACTCACTCACATGGCTGCTGGCAGGAGGCCTCAGTTCCTTGCCACATAGACCTCTCTGTAGGGTTGCTTCCGCCAGAGGGAGGGAATGACCTAAAGGAGAGACAGTCAGGTGGAAATTGTGATATCTTTTTTGACCTAGCCTCAGGACTCACATATCATCACTTCAACCATGTTCCTTTGGCTACACAAATCATAATACAGTGTGGGAGAGCACCATACAAGGGCATGGATACCAGGAAGTGGGGATATTAAGGTCCCTCTTGGAGGCAGGCTTCTATAGCACTGATAACATTCGTTCCTGCCCCCTCTTAGCATGGCATCCACAGTCTTCCCTTTTCCACACCAACCAGCAAATACTCTGAAAAGGAAGACAGTTGAAGTGATTCATCTCTGTTCTTCTCACACTTAATATTTTGGCTGAGTTGGAAGCTTCTATCCCTGTAGAAGGCTTACAATCAGGATTCAGAAACTTGGGACTTTTGGGGTTTTGTACACAACAGAGCATCTCCCTTACTGCAATCTATTAAAAGCCAGCCCTTGACACAAAAGTTTGAAATATATATATACATATTTCTTTGTACACACACACACACACACACACACACACAAATTTGGAACCAGACTCAGAATTTATCCCAGTTCATCTGAAGGACATGGAGGCCCACTGGGCTATTCCTCTTTTCACTATTCTTTGGTCTTCATCCACTTTTTCCTTGATATAATTCATCATTTTATGGATTTTATTGTATCAAGATGTCAGGTAGACAATCACAGCTAGTAGCAATTTCCCTCCTTGTTCTGGAATGTCTGCTGCTGAATACAAACCATTCACTTCTGGATCCCTGACAACGGGATTGTATAACTGTGAATTCATCTGTAGTGTGGTGGGGTCACCAACACTTTTTGTCAGCACTCCAGTAGCAAACTGTAAAATGCCCAGAAAGGAAAAGTCTAGTTACTATCAAGTTCTCCAACACTAGCAATGGGGAGGTGCTATGGTTTGGATACAGTTTGTTTGTCCCCACCAAAACTCATGTTGACATTTGATCCCCAGTGTGGCAGTATTGGGAGGGGGTACCTGGAGGGAGGTGTTTGGGTTATAGGGTGGATCCCTCATGAATGGGTCGGTGCTGTTCTCACGGTAGTAAGTGAGCTCTCACTGTCACAAGACTGGATTACTTCTTGTGAGAACAGATTAGTTCTCACGAGAGTGGGTTGTTGTAAAGCCAGGATGCCCCTCAGATTTTTCCTGCTTCACAAGTACCTGCTTCCCTTTTTTACCTTCTTTACTATGTTGTGACACAGCACAAAATCCCTTACTAGAAGCCAGGACCATGCCCTTGAACTTCTCAGTCTGCAGAACCATGAGCTAAATAAACCTCTTTTCTTTATAAATTTCCCAGTCTCAGGTATTCTTTTATAGCAACCCAATATGGACTATGCATCCTGCATAAAGAGAGAAACAGAGGGACCACCCCTTCCCCTCTGTTTCTCTGGATGATCCTACTTGGTAGCCAAAGGTTTGTCACCTTTAATACTGTAGCAAACGATAATGATAAATGGAAACACCTTCTAACACTTCCTAATAGATTTCATGCTAGAGCCTTGAATGTGAGTCATACAGGTGTTGAATGAATGGATAGATGGATGGGTGAATTCTTCAGGTACAATGTGACTGGGGCTGATACTGAGCTCATGCTGCCAATATGGACTAAGGGCCAGGGTCCATTTCCATTGGTCAGGCCTCCACTCTGCTGGGCTGGTGCCTGCACTGTACTAGCCATTACAGATAGGACCTAGGATGTGAGAACGTGGCTCCATGATGCAAACTGGGTTACAAAGAACCCAGCCTGATATGGCTCACCCTTAGGGCTGATTAGAGGGAGAGGAAATAGAGCCTGCTTGGCTGGGAATCTGGAAGGGATGGGACCTGGCAGTCTCAGAGCTGCAGCAAGATGGATCTTAGAGCAGGAATAAGAACTCAAAGTAGATCAAATTGAGAATGGGTGAATATAGCTCTCTAATAAATCTGGAGACAAAACCTGGGGGTAACAGAGAAGAATTAATACAAAGGAAGAAGAGACCAGGAATAAGAGTTGGGTGGGTAGAAGTTCACTGAAGTTGAGGAGAATGAAGGAGGAGCAAGAGGAGGGAAGGTATATTAATTATGTTCAACTGTGACAGAAAACACAAAACCACAGAGGAGTAAATGAGCTAGAACTTTATTCTGTATTAAGTAAGAAAGTCCGGAAGACATCCAGCTGTTGCAGGCATGGAAACATGTGATACCTTTCTCACTCATTATAAGGGTCGCAGCTGACCCTCTTAAAATAGAAGACATATTAACAAGAAAAAATCATAACAAATTGATTTAATTGAAGTTTTATGTGACACAGGAGCCTTCAGAAATGAGGACACAAAGACCCAGGTAAAATTGCCCATTTTTATGCTTGGATTTGTTGAAGAATGGACAGCCATGTAGAACTGTGATTGGATGAAAAGGATATGATCTAATGGCTGAGGGAACCCAACAAGGCCTGTATGTTCAAATTCTTCTTGTCTCTCTGTATACCATTCCTTCCTCCTGGGCACAGGGCAGAACCACTCTCCAACAAGAGTCTTATGACTTACTATCAGACAAGGTAGGTCAGATAATTTTTTTATGGCCAACTCCTACACAGAAAGGCAGGGTTAGAGTAATATTTCTAGGTTTTATGGATTACTTCAGAGGAGAGGGGTTCTAGTTTCTCTGACCTGCCTTGAGGAACAGGAATTATCATTTCTGTGACTTATTTTGGGAAGAATGAGGGGTGAGAGACAGGAGGGTAGGAGAAGGTCAGAGAGAACTTGCTTCTGACCCCTTCTGATCTCCTTTAGCTCAAAGTACTCAGCATGACAAAGGATCATAGGTTTGGGTATCCGTTCTCTGAGCCCCAACACCAGCCATCACTTCTTTCCCTCTTCTCTCCTTTCCTCCCTCCTCCCCTCCTCTCCCTCCTCCCCTTGCTCCCTTCCTCCCTCCCTTCCTGCTTCCATTTAGATGTGTTTATAACAGGACTGAGTACAGAATCAAGAGACCTAGAAACCTGGCCTGGTCTTGTCACTAACTTACAATAAGTCACTCAACCTCTCTGGACCTCAGTGTTCTCATTGGTAAAATTAGGGGCTGAACAAGTGATCCCTAGTGTCCTCCCTAGCTTCAAAATTCTTTGATCCTCCATAGTCCAAATACTGCAGAAAGTAGCAGAGAGAGCCCCTCTCTGATGAGTGGCATCAAGACAGCCCCTGGCTGGGTCTCTGTCTGCTAGATTCCCCTGCTGTGTAAAGTCCCAGCCTGGCAGCTGTCACTTAGATTCTCCCTACTGGCTCCAGATAGGCCTGCTTTGGATAAATGACACACTTGTCTTGCTAAATATGACCAACTCAAATCATGCCATATGTGCCTCATTACAAACCTGTCCTGTGCCAGCCAGATGGATGTGGTGCTTCCTGGGCTTCCAGCTAAAGGTTGAAATGGCCTTCATGATGGCACAGCTGGCCTGGAAAGCTGGTTTCGTTTCACTTGTTAGATATCATGTTCTGTCTAAATCTGTTTCTTTAGTTAAAGTGGTTTTGTTTCTTTACTTGCTCAATAAACACTTCTTGGGTACCTGTATGGGCATGGCACCCTGAGGGGCTTACAGAAATGAGTAAGTCACAGTGTCTTCCTTTCTGGAGCTGACACTGACCTTGGCCTTCCTAGTATTCCACAATCTCTTCCTATCTAACTCTCCAGCCTTATTTCCCTCCACTGATGACACTGTTCTGCCTTAATTCCGCCTGCCCGTCCTTATGTCCCTGTCCCTGTGCAGCTTTTGCACATGTACTTGCTCAGCCTGAACAGGGACCCCTGCCTTTGTCCCTACCCACATGTACACACACAGGCACACACCTGTACCTTTTTCCCTGGCCATGGCTTCCTCATTCTTCAGGATTCAGCTTAAATGTCCCTTCCTTAGGGAGACCTTCCGTGAGTACCTCTACTCCCATCCCCTCATGTGACTGTAATGGTCCTAAATGGGCTGTGACTAACCAACTAGCCCCTCTGCATTTGGAATGGCCACAGAGCTTATCTATGGGTAGCTGGGAGGTTTCTGCTTCTCAGGTTACAGCCACCAATTCAAGTAAGCAGTGAGCATCTACTAGCTGCCAAGCATTCAAAATACTAAGATGCATAAGACAAGTTCCTACCTTCACTTACAGATGAAGACACTTGTTCTCAATCTTTTTGTTTGGTTTTGGGTTTGTGGTGTTTTTGTTGTTTTTGTAGAGACAGGGTCTCGCTATGTTGCCCAGGCTGGTCTTGAACTCTTGAACTCAAGTGATCCTCCTA